AAGAACTGACACCTTAGATTTGTTATGATTTCCCAAGGTTTTGCAAGAGTACATGAGCTTTTCCCCCTAGAATTTGTGAGCCATTTGGAGCCTGCTTGAAGGCCACTTTAAAAACAGAGATTCTCTGGATTTAAAATCCCTTTGAAAGGTGCTTTAACAGAGTTCAAAGAACTTTCACCTTGTTCGTGACTGTGGAATGAAACTTTCTTGCTTTGTGATTCCGATTCAACCAATTTGAACATCAAATCCAGTTTAATTTTAACTACTATTAAACCCTGAAACTTTCATGATCCGTTGGCTTGTAAACTTTGACCTCTTGCTACAGAGTATTTCTGTTTCCCTACCCAGAATTCCATCAGCCATTACAGGGACCTGTCTAGGCTGGAACACAAAGACAACCTCACCGAGATAGAAGAGCTGACCCCAGACGAGGAGGACGGCAGGCAAGCCCACAACAGCACCGACTAGGACTGGCACCCAGACCTCCGGAATTTCTCAGTTCAAATCAATATTGGATGAAATGTTCGCTGCGGTCATGTTTGGGAAGTCCATGTAGAGCATGGTGCTGAAGTGTCTCCAGTCAGCTGCTGGTCATTTTCAAGCCAGATTTTGATGTGTATTATGTGAAATACCATACAGTCCACTAACTGCTGCAATAACAGAATGCTTAAATGATAATGGGGGAAAATGAATTGTCCTTCTTGCAATTAGGCCATTTTCCAATACTCAACTTCGTCTCCGTCTCAGGCTTCCCAAAACCAATCCCAGATTGTGGGCCTGAAGCGTTTAAATTACATTGGATTACTGTCATTTTTGGCTTTTTTGCATCTTATTTGATGTTCTGTGGTACTATTAGACTGATTACTGCGCTTACAGCTTCAAAGTCAGCCTAGTAAAGAAACATTTGAAGCCTAAGACGGAGCCGGAGGAAAAAAAGTTTTGGGTCAATTTTGTGAAGTGCTGTGTGGTTCATTTCAGCTTGTATAATACCGGTACCATAGATGACTCATCGTAGCTTTCTTTCTTCATGGATCAAATTGGTTGCACGACTCGTTCAAGTTGGGCTCCGAAGGCTCATTCCCCAAATGTTTTTAACTGTACACAAGCACCACAGAAACTCTAGTATCATCTCCTGGTGGTCGTAGAATGCAAACACTTGTTAAGCTGGGTTATTGTGAAATTGAGGAAATTCTGGGCATGCTGTTAACCACTTCGTGCCGGTGCATTTTTCAACGATGGGGATGCTGGGCCGGCATGACTATCATTTTTTCCGTTTTCAAAATCCTTCAACAATTCATCATTCCATTTAACGGTCGTTTATAGCCGCACGGAGTAATCTTTAAGCACTACTCTAAGTTGACAAGTGACCTTCATTGACGACCGAATATTTCAGCCAGGCCTGCAGCCTTGTAAACAGAGCCCAGATTGTGCGATGTTATACAACTGTCTTTTGTTCACGAACCTGGCTTAGTGCACTGCTGACCTCTTTTCAATAGGGGCCAGATTAGCATGCAGTGGTGCTCATCGCTGCGGTGGTGGAGAGCTTTTGTCCCCGGTGGTAATCCGCTTGCTCTAAATACCCCAAACCCTGGTATACAGTTTCAAAATAACGCTGGATTATCACCACTTTTGACAGNGAGAACTGACACCTTAGATTTGTTATGATTTCCCAAGGTTTTGCAAGAGTACATGAGCTTTTCCCCCTAGAATTTGTGAGCCATTTGGAGCCTGCTTGAAGGCCACTTTAAAAACAGAGATTCTCTGGATTTAAAATCCCTTTGAAAGGTGCTTTAACAGAGTTCAAAGAACTTTCACCTTGTTCGTGACTGTGGAATGAATCTTTCTTGCTTTGTGATTCCGATTCAACCAATTTGAACATCAAATCCAGTTTGATTTTAACAACTATTAAACCCTGAAACTTTCATGATCTGTTGGCCTGTGAACTTTGACCTCTTGCTACAGAGTATTTCTGCTTCCCTACCCAGAATTCCATCAGCCATTACAGGGACCTGTCTAGGCTGGAACACAAAGACAACCTCACCGAGATAGAAGAGCTGACCCCAGACGAGGAGGACGGCAGGCAAGCCCACAACAGCACCGACTAGGACTGGCACCCAGACCTCCGGAATTTCTCAGTTCAAATCAATATTGGATGAAATGTTCGCTGTGGTCATGTTTGGGAAGTCCATGTACAGCATGGTGCTGAAGTGTCTCCAGTCAGCTGCTGGTCATTTTCAAGCCAGATTTTGATGTGTATTATGTGAAATACCATACAGTCCACTAACTGCTGCAATAACAGAATGCTTAAATGATAATGGGGGAAAATGAATTGTCCTTTTGCACTTAAGCCATTTTCCAATACTCAACTTTTTCTTCGTCTCGGGCTTCGTTCCCAAAACCAATCCCCGATTGTGGGCCTGAAGCGTTTAAATTACATTGGATTACTGTCATTTTTGGCTTTTTTGCATCTTATTTGATGTTCTGTGGTACTATTAGACTGATTACTGCGCTTACAGCTTCAAAGTCAGCTAGTAAAGAAACATTTGAAGCCCAAGACGGAGCCAAAGTTGAGTATCGGAACATGGCCTCGGAGGAAAAAAAGTTTTGGGTCAATTTTGTGAAGTGCTGTGTGGTTCATTTCAACTTATATAATACCGGTACCATAGATGACTCAACGTAGCTCAGTGGTAAGTTTCATGTTAGCACACTGTACATGTGCATTACAGTGAGTCTTTGGGTCAACCCAAGCCAGACCACGAACCCCGAGTTCGATGAGTTTGGTAAACTTTACCCAAGACCCGGTTATGACTTTCTTCATGGATCAAATTAGTTGCACGACTCGTTCAAGTTGGGCTCCGAAGGCTCATTCCCCAAATGTTTTTAACTGTACACAAGCACCACAGAAACTCTAGCATCATCTCCTGGTGGTCGTAGAATGCAAACACTTGGTAAGCTGGGTTATTGTGAAATTGAGGCTATTCTGGGCATGCTGTTAAGCTTTGTCAGAGTGTATATTCCAGCCTAGTTCTGTTGGTCTGTATGCTGACATGGAAAGCCAATGGATTCATTGTTTTATTTCACTAAATACTACATCAGTAAATTATGTACGATTTGAAGAAGTTACAAATGATCACATTTAAGTTTTGTACAATGCGTTTTTTAGTACTGAGGGTCCATCTTTTCTTTTCTTGTAGGAAGACCTGATACTGAAGACAATTGAAACCAGAAAGGTGTTAATACACATTCCGCCCCCCCGTAGGCAATGCCTCATCGCATGGCTTTAATTTGTGATCACAAAAATCATTTCTGTTAGGAAAACCATTGCTACTGGTTTTAACAATAGTGACCTTGACCTTTGCCCTCTTAGGACACACACAGAGGACAGATTAAATGCATGTGCCCTTTTGGTGTGGTTGGAAGGCCAGAATTATGGCCGCCGTGTCGTGCAGTTAAGCACACATTATTTGGAATTTTGGCCGCAGAGGCAAGTCATAAACAGAATCTGTATCATTTAACTCGTTCAATCATCTCTTGAAACAAGTTAGAGCTACACCAAATGTTGGACGTGCTTGTTGGTTTAAAATAGGGGCAATTCAGTACTTCTGGTTACTGAATTTATTCTCAATTTTTTTTACTTTAATTTAAATATTTCAGAACAAGCAGGCAGTGTGTTGAGTAGTGGAAACTGTTCTCTTCCATTTCAGAAGGTAGTATTTAATGTTGTTGGGAGAAAGTCAAAATCTTCAAGTGTACGACGAAATATATTGGTGGCAATTTGCTTTTATTAAGTGAGAACTTCAATATTAAAATTAATCAAATTTCCATTTATTGCATTCACTGTCCTTTTTTGTCTGAAGTTGATATCTTCCCTTTAAATCCCCCATGGCCTTACATTTGGATGCAGCAAAGGAACATCTTTTGTGACGTCATGAAAATTTGAGCGTTCAATGTAAACTACCATTTATATATTAGACTGGGCAAATTCTGCACACATACCACGTAGTTGGTACCATTAAGTGAGATTTTCTGATATTCTAGGTGCATCCACGTCCACTACAAACTGTTTTTCTACCTCCACTAATGTTTTTGTCAAACATCCATTCACAGTTCAAAAGGGTGACACAGCTTTAGGCAAGAAGTTTTAATGTATATAAAGATCACCTTTACGCATGCAGCGTCGGTATTTTAGCAACTATCTCATTTAAAATAAAATTTCATTCCATATTTCTGATTTTTAAACTGCTCTTTAAATATACAGGCATTCTCATTTGTACTCCATAAATTTAACATCAATTCATACAGATCAGGTCAGGAAAGACTTTTCCCAACTTTTTGGTTTAAAAAGCAACTCTTAGTTTTTGGGAGTACAGATAAGTATTGTCAAAACTATCAATGATTAAAAGCATGAAAATTCCTGACGATAAAAGAAGAATCCCTTCCACTTCTACTCGGATTTGTACACTCAAGGAAGTTGTTAACCTGAACACTGAACGGGATTAAGCTTTCACAGTCAAGGAAAATTGTGTTCAGCAGTGTCGCCTATACAAGGATAGATTCAAAATCAAATGTTGGGGAGCCAACACAGCTCCTTGCCCGCCCAGAGCTGTGTAGAGAGAGAGTAGTGCCAACTTTGAATTTAAGAGCCAAAATGGCTGCTCATTACGTTGCTGTACAACATACAGCATTTGTGTGCGCACTGTCCATTTGCACTGATGCATAATCCACCATTTTGGTTCCAACAACTGAAACACTCTCTTGGCAACTCTCTCTATAAACAGCTCTGCGCCTGCCAAGGGATGTGTAGAGAGAGAGCAGTGTCAGCCTCAGATTTTGGAAACAAATGGCTGTTCTTTATGAGCACAATGCGCACTGGTGCATACACGTTTCAGTTTGTTTCCAAAAAAGGTGACATTTGTGTCGTAGCTCTCTATTAACAGCTCTTTGCCTGCCTCCCGTCATCCATGGGGAGTGGGCGGCAATCACTATTCCTTGAGGGGTAATGGGATGCCCATATCCTTGCAGACTTCCTGCACGCACCGCAAGAGGTGGCGCATGTCCCGAGGAAAGACGTGCCCGATGTTGCCGATACGGAAGCAGTCTGTCTTGGTCACTTTGCCCGGGTAGATCACCTGATCTGTGTGAATCGTCGAGGAGAGAACAGGAGTCGCTGAAATCAGATACTGGTCACAGACGAAAGGTACCTGGACTACTGATGCCGCAGGATGGGAGTAAGAATGACTCTGAATGATGTGTCGATTGAGGGTGATGTAGTAGTGAGTTTGAGGATTTCTGAAGGGTCTTACAAACAGGACGCTTGGTAATTGCAAAGCCATGCATGGAGCACATGGCATGGCCATGCGCCGTGTGAGTGCTTCATGGAAGTAATCTAACTTGGAGCTGTGCTATCTTCTCATGACTCATGAACGTTCCGTGGCTGTGCAACTGATTGAATATTTCAGACATGGCGGACGGGAACTAACACAACTCTGACGTCGGCAGGTTCTTCACGGTGATAAAGACTTCATCAACAAATTTTTTAATTAGCTTTGCTTGCCAGTTTGAAAATGTTTTCATCTTCTCATTACAATCAGGTATCAAATTTTAGATGTTCTCTCGTAGCTGACCAAGTATTTCTTTACTTGCATGAACAAAGCTGTGCATTTCTTGCATACACCTTGGTAAGTTAAAGATAAGCTTTACAGCAACCACAAATGACATCACAGCAACAGTGCCCTCCATTGTCTCGAAAAGCATAGACAATTTTAAATGTTTGAAAAAGTGTACTTTTCGACACACTTATGCAAAAGGGGTGTCATATAGATTTTTCACGCATTGAAGAGATGTACATCGGTTGTGCAGAAAGTGTGTCGAAGAAACATTCATTGCATGGACCCTTTGAGACCACAGCAGGTTAAAGCTTGTTTTAATGTTTTGGGCAACAACCTCGCATCCCATTTGCAAAAACCTTTCCTTTTTTTTTTTTTACAAAAGACACGCACGTAACGTCAGATTTTGGCACACTCTTGATAGACGGCAAAGGATCTAGAAGCAATTGAAACAGGGAGGAAAAAAAGAGAAAATCTGTGGAGAGATTGAATGAAAGCAGTCTACATGACTTCTGACGATGGAGCACATGCATCTTTAAGGTTACACTCCAGGTGGTGTCCAAAACTGAAATTTAATAATGGTAAAAAAAGTTGTAATATTTGGTCTAGCCAATCACTGACAAAGCTGAACATTTTGTCCAGTTAACTCATTATTTATGTATAATGGAAAAATCTCAATGAGAAAGTTTTGAAGTGTCCAAGAACTGCAGTGCAGTCCATACTGGAGCAACGTGGCAAATACTGAAGGGTTCTGAAGTACTACAGATCAAGATATTTATACCAGAGTCAGTCAAACGTCAGTCACAAGTCTGCCCACAAGTCAAATCAAAGGTTGGTTGGATGTCTGCCCACAAGTCAAGTCAAATGTCGGTCAGAAGTCTGCCCACAAGTCAAGTCAAATGTCGGTCAGCAGTCTGCCCACAAATCAAGTCAAATGTCGGTCAGAAGTCTGTCAACAAGTCAAGTGTCAGTCAGAAATTTGCCCACACATCAAGTCAAATGTCAGTCTGAAGTCTGCCCACACGTCAAATCAAAGGTCAACTGGAAGTCTGCCAAAAAGTCAAGTCAAAGGTCGGTCAGAAGTCTGCCCACAAGTCAAGTCACAAGTTGGTTCACAAGCCAGGTCAGACCTAAAGGGAAATGAACAATGACAAAGGAATGATTTTTGTCACAGCTGATTTCAATGGCCAGCCAGTTGAGTTGGGACAGAATGACATGTGGCCGACTTGTGGTGACTAGTAACTAACTCGATTACAACTCTGGTTAATACTCTGCACCGTCGGTTGGCTTGTGAAATAAAGTGACTCATAATTGCTCATACAGGATTCAAACCCCACTTTTTCAAATTTCATCCAAGCTAGCCTCAATGAAGTTGTATTCTCACAAGCTCTCAGCTTGGGCTTACTAATTATGTCAGTGAAGGGCGCACCCAAATATTAATTTATGTCTCCTTGATGCAATCCATTAAAAGTTAAGAACCTCGTTATCCTGTCAGCTATGAAAAGCTGGTCTGATGTACCCATCTCTATCTTGTGACTGAAAAGAAGTCCAGCGTGGCTTGGATTTGACTGCCTGTGGAAATTGGAAACTCCGCAGGGTCCAAGAACACGGCCTTGAGTTCCCTGTGTCTGCCACTCACTAGGTCATCGTGCTTGCAGATTCAAGATGGCATCTCATTGCAAACTGCTCCTAAAACCCCTGCTGCAGGAGTGTTTCAGGGACAAAAGTGAGATGAACATGAAACAGAAGTAGAACTTGGACAGGAAAAAGCCAGAAAATCTATTCCCCACAGATTCATGCTTTTATGAGTTCATCATAAAATTGGTGAACAGGCCATTATGATAATGAGTGTATTAGTTTGTTTACAGAGAAATTGGAATTATCTGCTGTTAGGGATGACTCAATGGGGTGTGCATATCTCCTCTGCATGACAGTGCACAATGGGTTGAAATGCTCTTAAGAGCGGGTAAAACCAACGAGGCCAAACTGTTGAAAAGGGCTTCCTGGTAATTGATATGCCAATTCGCTCCAAGTAAGATTTGAATTATCTCCCTGGAAAGGTAACTAAACTGAGTCAGGTCTCCTACACACAAGAATGCAGAACCCACTGACAACAGAAATGTCTCCTTGTCAGATGACACATTTCATTCGTGGTAACTATGAAATGCAGGCAGGCCGTAACAACCGGTATCGCAGACGTTTATTCATAACTACATGAGAGCTGTGTAGCGTTGCAGATGAACTCACAACTATTCACAATCAGTGTGCTTATTCATAGGGATACTAAATCAGTTTTAGACAGCAGTTTGAGATCTGTACCATTTGTTCTTCAACGCCCTCACGTATCCATATTGTACTCCATGCTGGGCATAGGTATTTGAAGTAAAACGTCTTGCCCAAGAGCACACCTACAAGTAACATATGATTCCAACCAGAGTTTAAATCACACCCCTTTAAGGGCTGGACCGTGGTATTCTACAATGCTGAATGTTTGAGCTTTAACATGCTTTAGTGAACATGGTCATGACTACAGGTTTGACTTGCGAGATCAAATTGACTGGGATTCAAAATATCGGTACAGTAAAACCTCAATAAGTAAAACGCGGCTAAGTTGAAAGTCCACTTGCTCAAAGTGATGCTTTGTTACCGCCGAAAGAATAGGCATTAGTGTACACAAATACTTCCGTAAGTCGAATTACCAAGGGCCAAAATCCCACTTAGGTCAAGTTTTTGTGACACTGGTCAAAAAAAGGGATACTAAATAGTCTCAAAAAGTACAAACATTGGATCACGAAACCAGTGATCTGAGTCATCGCTGCAAAGCGCACGTTATCTTTTCACTCTCGATCCACTTGCATGGCACGCATGCTGCATGGCTCACTTCATAAACCATGCCACACTGTAACTGCAACAGCTAGCCTAGCTAGCTGGACCGATCACTGCCTATTACAATGGTCACGGGACATCAGAAAGCGATTTCATAAGAAAAACCCATTTGAAAGCAAACTCAAATACTGCATGCAGCACACATCCTGTTGTAAACACGATCGGCGAAAAGACCAAAGATTTTCCACACGAAGGTACACCTTTAAAAACGTGATGAATTGTATATTTATTGGTAGAAACGAACTTCTAGGCATAACAATGAAAAATCTAATAGCAAAACGATTATTTATCAGCAAAAATGTTCCATGAGAACGAATAAAAAGCACAAAAAATAGCCACCAAAATGATGCTACTGTGAAGCGAGTTTGGAATGACCATGTCTACATATGTGTATAGGCGTATTAGCTCCATGGCTGTGAGACTTTCTTTAACTCGAAGACCAGATAACTCAAATTTTTTACTCATTCCCTTGAACTTCGAGTTATCAAGGTTTTACTGTACGATAAGACGAATCTCAAAGAGAGCCGGTCGAATTAAAACTGGTAATCACTGCTTGATTGTATGCTGGGGCAACCAGCTTTAGAGTACATTATCGAGGGCGCTGTTTAATAATTACATTTTATAATGAATACTGATCAAGGACGAAGGATGAGTTTTGCCTGTTAATTTGAGCAAAGGAAGTTGCCTCACAATTGCTCTTTCTATTGGGGCCTTTAAAGGACAAGGTAGAAACCAGTTATAAGGACTACCACTTACCTTTCTCTTGCAGTCTTGTGTAGAAATCTTTGAAGTTGAAATTTGGATGTTGCGGGTAGTGGAATGATGTTATGATGAAGCCTTCGTGGGTGTTATCCAACAGTGTCTTGAAGCCAAGAGCCTTCATTCCTTCACAGATGATGCGATTGTTCTCCTTGTATCTGGAAACAACAACATCAGGTCCATTTATGAATATCAAGTTAATTTGTCCACCTGTGTCTAAATACTTGAGGTCTTACATATTCATGTGCCCAATAAACCAAGCCTTGGTACAAGACTTGATTTTGCACTACGTCTTATATCAAGTACGACATCTTTGTAATTTCAGAAAGTGTAAGGACGGTGAGAAGGCTTTAACAACGGTTACAGGAAACATCATCCTTGCAATCTGAAGCTACCTGTACAAGAGCCTGTCAGCATTTTATCAGAAAATGATTTCTGGGGTTATGCAAATTCTGTTGTCTGCAGAAATAGCATGCCAGTTGTCCTAACTTCACAAGGCTCTCTTGCATCTTGACAATTTTCTTGCCAGCTGAATTTGAAGTTGAAGCTGAGATTGAGTTTGGGGTTTGGGCTCATGTATCATGTGTGGCCTTGTAAACGTCCGGTCCCTGACCTTGTTCTTCGTTGAGCCACACCGCCCTCCTCTTCCAACTCGGTCAGTGCCTGTTTGAAGGCTAGCATGGCGTGGGTGGGCGGAGTGAACCGGAACTGACCGGTTTGCTCCAGTGTCTCCCACTGACTCACCAAGTCCAGAGAGAGACTCCTCGACCAGCCTGAATATGACCAGGAAGACTGAATGTCAAGGGGTACCACAAACACGTTCCAAGGTTCAAAACTTTAGAAGCGACTGCACCAACCCGCCTCCTCCCACTAATAAAAAAAAGGCAGGGACTTCTTCGTCCACCCTGAAATGACAGGCATGGTAAAAAAAACGAAAAAGGCTGTGAAAATAATCAGAGCCTCATTAACTTGCCTTTGCATGTGGGATTTTGAAACTGCATTTTGCACAACCTTTGGCCAGCTGGAAAATACCCACTATGTGGAACAGAAAGCTAACGCAATTTTTGGAAGCAAAGATGCCTTGCAGCGAAGTCTATCTCTCCTCATATCCCTTTGTCCACTTAAAACAGGTGTCTGCATTTAACTGGAGTTTCCACCAGTCGTCTACTGAAAAAAGAGGAACTATACAGTGAAAAGTTTATACTTCTTTTAGGTCACCCCTAAAAATAATGTATCTTTACTGAAGGCTAAACTGTGCTGAATCTATTCTGTGTACACGCTTTCAGCCACTAACATCCTACTTTTCATCTTCTATAATCCCTGTAAGTTTTGCTCTCACTTTTGCTTCAGGAATTTGCGCATATACCTGATAAAGCCTGCTAAGGTCATCCTCAGCCTTCCCTCCTGTCTTTTGTGAGGTGTGCCCATATTGCCACATGCCGCACATGATTTGTGAAAGAGGGTGACACCCCTTCCCCAATGAAAAGCAAGATTATTCACGCCTCTGCATCATCCCTCACAGACACTCAGTGGTCTGTCCAAGGTCTGTGATTTCATCAAGTCTGACGACAACCCACACAGCGTGGGCATGCCACCGTCGCGCCTCTGTACCTTTGCACTTGACCAGCTTGTCCTTTTTGCAGATGGCGTAGGAGAACCCCGGCACGCCCTCCAGGCACTTGTTGGCCGAGCTGACCAGGAAGTCAATATTGCTGGCTTTGATGTTGATGTCCTCTGCGCCGAAGCTGCTCATGGCATCAACGAAGTAGCTGGCATCTGCAACAAAAAAAGAAACAAGAAAACTACACGGTTCATCACATCTAGTTCTATATCACGGGAGCTTCTTCATTAGACCATCAACTGGATACAAATTTTATTACACCAGACAGGGACGGGGGGAAAGGGAAAGGTGCAGCGAAGTGCAAGAGGTGCCAAAGAGGTGCAACCAACCTTTCCATGTTGAAGCAATGGAAGCAAGCTAATCCCGTTGAACAACGCCACTTTTGGGTCCCATGGTTGCTGGCAACAACGCTTTTGGAGGCCGTTTTACCTTGGGATAGCCGGCCTGTTGGATCTTAGTGTGCTTCGCAGGCAAGTGACATTTATAAATGATGCAAACTGATGCATCCGTCAAGGTTCCTGGACAACACACCCAGCAGGGTTAAAGCTATGAAAGGTTGAATGTTGGCACGGCTGTATGCTTGGTACTTTGATACCTAGCAACAACATTTATTGTGACCAGAACATCCTGTGCACTGTCACTTGTTCGTGCGCACGTGGTAATTTTCATCGACAACCATCCAAATGATTGGTTCTCTTATAATGGGGGAGCAAGAGGAATCCAAGCATTGGCTTAGCCTTTATCCCATGTCATGGATGAGACCCTACCCCCCAACCCACCTGTGGTGTGTACCACGACATACCTGGCGCGTATTCCTTCACCAGTTGTCCGATCTCTCCGATGGGGTTGATGACCCCCGAGCTGGTCTCGCAGTGTACCACGGCCACATTGGTCCAGGGCTGCCCTCGCAAGACCTCTTCCACGGAATGACCGTCTACCTTCTCGCTCTCCAGGAAGGTCAAGATCTTGTAGTCCACGCCCAGCACCTTGAGGATCTGGCCCATGCGTCGACCGTAGGCACCATTCTCCAGCAGAAGGACCTGGAGTTGTGGACACAGGCAACGCAGTGGGAAAAGAACCAAAGGCCATAAACTTTAAAAACCGATTGGTTCAGAGCATGCAAACTCAATTGTACCTTACTTACAATCTTGAGCTGATCTTTGCTAACCTGTAGCTCTTTTTAAAGATGTTGCCATTGTAGTACAATAAACACTACACAGTCCCGTATCATTTTTATGAAAGGTGCTACTCTGATTTTGTATAAAAATTGCAATGAAGTTCTGTTGGTCCTAACACTGGTGTGCTCCTGGAATTCCAAAAAAAATTTGACATCTCTGAACCACCAGCCTCATCCATTACAACAGTCCCTTGAAATGGGGCAAAGGAGTGGCCCAGTGGATGATGCTGGTTGTGTATACGGCTGATCTCAATAAAATTTTGAATACAAATATTCTTCATTAAAATTCTCCTTCAAACATCAATGAGTGCATTTTTTTCACAAAAGAGAGACAAGATGTTGTAGTGAGATGCAAATTCCTGAGTAAGTACTGTTGTGATATCTTTTATACAGAAGTGCCCTTCCGACGCCGATCTCCCAATCTGTGAAAGTCTTTGAAACGGGGCAGGTGAACGCTTCTTACAAAGTAAAAACTGACTTCTTCGGTCAAAACTTTCCAGCTAGAGGACTGTACAAAAGGGAAGAATCAGACAATGAGATGGTAAAATAAATGCTGAAGCAAAATGAAGAGATGATAGGAGGTCACTTTCACTGGACAAACCAACCTTTGCATTCATTCTTGGGATTGTAGAAGACAGAACTGCCTCTATGGCAAATGTGCCGCTACCTTGTACGGGAACACAGGTGTAGTCATCAGAAGAGACACCTGCCGAGGAAACAAATCGCTAATTGACGGCAAACGCCCATCTTCCACATCTTGTATATGTGTTGTTATCGACTCGCTACAAGGACTTGATTTTTCTAGTGAAAAAAATACAAGTAAATAGGTAACCATAGAGTGATTAATTATTTTCTGGGGCCACATTTTTTCGAGGAGGCCCCTTAAAGGAGGGATTTGTTAATGTGACTTTCACAGCCTTTCTCAGGGGTTAGGCTGAATGTGAGGGCTTTTTACATGCTTTAGGGGAAAGGAAACGAAAAGTCCAAAAAAACTGTCCATCATTATGTTTCAAAAACAAAAAGACTTCCCCTTTTGGGGCAATGGCCCATCAGCCCCGCCTCCCCAATACAGTAATGAAGAATACATTGCGACAGTATGCATTTGCATCAAGGAAGGCACTTTGAAACTTAACATGGCTGATATCCTAGATATACGCTTTGCCATTTGTTTTTTCTTTTTCGTGAGGGTAAGTTCTTACCGGCTAACTCAACCAGTCGCGACCGGATCGACTTCACCACCTCCATGAACTCCAAATCCCGGGAGCCCAGGTCCACCAGCATGGCTTGCTTGGTGCTCAGACTGACTCCCAGGGGGCCTGGCGTGAACAGCTTCTTCTCTCGCATGACGGCAACAATGTAAAACAGGCAGTCACGATGAAATTATAAAGTTGAAGTGTTTGGACTGAGTGAAACGAAGGATGACACCTCCCTAGCTTTATGAAGACTCTCTGAAGTCCATTTCTACGATCAGGAAAAAAGCAAATCTTGTTTAGCTCCACAATGAGGACATAGAGTTTGCAAAGCTTCAGAGCAAACACTTATTTCTCCTCGTCATCCCAAGTATTCCCATACAAACCTACCTTCAGGAGAAAAGACAATGCAATGGTAACAATGATATTCACAGTTGGCCTTTGTCAGTGGCATCTGACGATCCCCATAAAACACACCCCAATCCTCCCTGGTTTGAACTTTCACAGCAGTAGAGAGTATACGAAAAAGATCATATCTATAATATCAAAGGTCATGAAACGCCCCTTCTAGTTCAGGTGTTATCTGTGACTGACTGTCACATGCTCACTAGACAAAGGTTGGAATAGGCCTCGGCCTGCATATTAATGACCCCTGGTTATGGTGATATGTTGATTATACAGGTATGTGATTAGTACGAGTACATTGTATGTATGCTTAGTGGTGCACAGCACAGAGTGACTCACATGCACCAGGGTCCAAAAGTCATCCATGAAAGTTTCCAAGAGCTGCTCTGCACAGGGCAGTAAACGCTTCTGGCTCGATGATGAGTGGTTACCAACCAAACCAACATGTTGCGCACACTGTTAGTAACTGGTTCTCAGTGTTCACTGATTTGCTCAGCCCATGGAATTTTAAAGCAAAATTTTTCAGTTAAGTGTAATATTGGTACCAGTGGGAGTGTAAAGTTGTGCCCATGTCTCAAAATAAATGTTTGCAATATCCCAATTTCAGACTGTCACAATTTTTGAGTGTCAAAAAATCAACAAACTTCATAAGGGGTACTTCTAATTGAGACATTTGCGATCCCCAACCAGCCAAACTCTGACACCAAAGTCTGTCAGAATCTCTTAGGATGAGTATTGCGCTAGTAAATTGACTGTTTTAGGCCAAAAAAGTCTCCGGTTTCTGGTTACCGTGCGTCGCCGTAGACCTGCGCGTTGGCAAAATAAAGAATTTATTTAATTTGCATAAAACGATTTCCAAAAGCCGCCAAACTTACTTGATCGGCAGGAATTCTGCTACTGCGTAACTTTAACATGTTTTCAATGGGTGGGGTGGAGTAATATGTACGGTGAAGGAGTCCCCCTAGGCCTCCATGCATTTCAGTCGGGCACTCTTAACAGATGATGTCATTCGTATATCTTTACACGAAGGCTGTGTCTGAATCAGTTGGCTGCGGCTGGATATCATGCATGATTGTATGGGAACTGGCTGTGGATGCTGCCAAATACTTGGTGATATTCCGGCCATAGCCAATTGATTCGGACCCAGGCCATCATCTGTGAACCAGACAAACGAAATGGTCTTATGTCCTGCTTACATAAACTAACTGAAAATACTTTTAAGCAACAAACCGTGAGGGGAGGTAAATACACATGCAGAGCATGCAGTGGCGATGGACATCGCGTTATGACAACCATACATGTAACAACTCATGCATCGTCACTTGCCAAGAACAAAGGTACACATAGATTAGAGTGAGATGAGATTTTATTTTCTGAGCTGAATTTTTTCCCCAAGATTTTATATGCAATTTGTTTCTAATAAGCTAAAACAGAAAACAATGTGCACAGTACATCATGTACCTCATGAGAAGTTTATTTTCATTTCGACTCTGTAACTGAAGTGTTTTGATTTATTTTTTTCATAGGTTATTTGACGTGCAACTTGTTTCCTCTAAGCTAAAGCAGAAAACTGTTTCCTCTAAGCTAAAGCAGAAAACTATGTGCAAAGGATGTCACCTCATGAGAATTTCATTTAAAAACCGGGAACTAGAGCTGAACATTTATTTTTCACATATGATTCTCCATGGTTGTGCTACTGTATTTGAACAAGCTCAATCTTGCCAAGAATTGAAGCCTCTTGCTTGAGTGAGATGACTGAAACCATTGCCTCTCGTCATAGTTTATGGTCTGTTTATTAATTCCAAGTTGTTAATTCACACTTCTTGTAGTAACAACGCCATGCGCTCTAAAGTATATGTGCATGTACATCTCTTCTAAGTAAGAGATGCACATGCACATATACTTTAGAGCGTCACCGCACCATTTTGGAACCCAGCCCGTGACCAGAAGCCAGAATCTTTTGGGGGGGGGGCCTTATGTGGGGTTAGTCACAGGCCTACCACAAATAAATGGAGTCCAACTGCTTATGAGCAGAGTTCACTTAATAGTGTTGGGATATGCAGCGAGACATGGAACTGGCGAATTGAAAAAATACGGCACTGAACCTCTGGCCCGAACTGAGGGCTTCCAATTCTCAGCAATTTGGATGCAATCAGGTGCGAAAGTGGTATTATTAAGACATTTTGCAGAGGGATGCATTTTCCAAAAGGGCTACTTTTCCAGGCAGTAAATATCTTTTTACGGGTGGTCAGCTTTGGGCAAGAAGTTCTCAAAAATTCATCGTCGACCCACAAAAAACTGAAAGAAAAACGAAAGAGGACACCCACACATGAATTATTTCTAATGGAGACGCAGGTAGTTATCCTTGAACATGTAATGCAAATGGTTTGAATTGGAATGGAAACAAGATGGATAGCAGTAAGTCTGCACAAGACTGTTTCCATACCCAAATAGTTGGTGAGGAAGGGGCAAAACCAGTTAGCCGCATCCCCGGTGCACTTTTGCATTGACTGATCGCACCAGTTAAAATGTAAAGCAGCTGCTCAGGGGCTACTCAGACGCATGACACCCGTTGCTCCCCTCCCAAATCCACCCTAGGGTCTGAAGCGTGCTGAAAGGCTATGCGCCATACAGTATATCAGTGCACCTTCCGAATGTTTATCATTGCATTCCAAGTTTTGGAAAAACATTATCACTGAATTCCAAGTTTCAGAGATGCTTATCTTTGAATTCCGAGTTTCAGAGATATCGTCATTGATTTCCCTATTTCCGAAATACATCGTTGAATTCCATGTTTTCAAGATACATTATCTTTCAAGTTTACATTTCAGAAATTATCATTGACATCACTGTTTCCACAAAGTGTTATCACTGAATACATGTTTTGGGGATAATTCATTTTTAAAAACAGATTTATCCAGTATATGTTTTTCTGTTTCAATGATAAATTAACTCAGAAGCACGCTAACATCGATGGCCATTTAATCTTCCATAGGAGGCCCTCCCATATTGTCACAAAGTTTTACTTCATTGCTGAATCTAAATTCCAATTGCAGTGGGAAAAACATTTCAATATACACACTGATCTTTTATTAAAGTTTTAAGTAGGCCCACTCGAACAATACCTTAATTAAAAGAAAATTTCCAGTCAATTTAAGTACAAGTAGTTTAATAGTTTATTGAGTGGGCTTTTTTGGAAATTAACGAACATAAATGCCAAAGAGTCGTTTCACTAGACTTAACCCCCAATATCCAGGGCGCAGCCGTAGGCCCTACTGCCTGCACCCAGCACTTACCCGTGGACATGCTGGAAATGTGGGATCTGACCGTAACGTCCGCCACGCTCCCAGCACAAGCTATCTACTCTCAAACTTCCAAATAGGCCTGCACACAACTTGTAAGAAGCTTTTAAAATGTGAACGGGCCCCAAAAGTGAGGATTGGCTTTAATTTTTTTATGCTTTCTCAATTTATTCGGATGTGTGGGTGAATATCGAACCTCATTTACTCACCTGAATATTTTTTTTACTTCCGACTTCGCCTACAGCTGGTCTCGCTTTGAATGACAGTTCATCGCCGCGCGCCGGCATGGCACCTGTAACCTACCTACGCGTACGTGAGCGCAAACGTTGAAAGCATGCAGAGTACTGAAAAGCGCCACCAAACGGTAAAGTTCGGAAAATTTTAAAAATGGCGCTCCCCAAGAGGACAAGCGTTTTCTTATTTTCATTGATCAAAAATCCGGTTCATTGCCAAACAGTCACGCAAGTAAGAATACTTTTGCTTTTAATAAAAAGAGTCTTAAAGAGTGTGATAATTACCTGTCTGAATTCTAAATGTTTTTCCTCTCCTAATTGTGTTTAACAATGAAAAATTTGGCCTAACAACATGATGATCAATAGCCGGTATAGCCCCACTACTAGTGTGGCACGGACTCTCACTCCCGATCCATCCTTAGCCACACATCCGTATGTGCAATTTCGTGTCGGCGTACTGAACATTTTCGGCGCACCCACTTATCATCGTGGGCGCAATTTCTTTTGCACACGAACATGATCCTTGACCTTTCCGTTTTCTAAAACCATTTATTGAATGATTTCACTCACGTTATTCAAGTATTTTCCAGTCTTTTTGCCTTTATCTATTCAATCTAACGGGCTCGCTCTCTCAGTCACCATCTTTAAAATAAGATCGTTGAACAATATGTCACTTGACCTCTTATTATCTCGACGGCTCTTCCATGTCAAGACATATGTAATAAACGGACTTGGCGATAAGATACTACATGTAACAATGGGCTTTTCCAAAACTTGACATGGAAGACACAAAATTGCGCATACGGATGTGTGGCTAAGGATGGATTGGGAGTGAGAGTCCGTGCCACACTAGTGGGGCTAGATGATCAACAGAATTTTCTGCAAAGTACGTTGGACATCCATGGGCATATTTAGTAATTTCAACACAGCATTTATGGAATTCGGGATACAAGGCACTTGTGAACGAAATTTGAGCTGTCTTCGCCAGGTAAAAATGTGAGAAAAACTGTTGAAAAAAATTTCGAATTGTAGGAGGACATTTATACTCTGGACGTCAGTCGTAGTTAAATGAAGACAACGTCCAACCTGGGCTAGATGATGATCATGATCATGATCAGATGATGGAGTCCGGATAGCCCAGGTGGATTCCTTGACCGTACTTTCTTAAGGAGGGAGTGCAGGATATAAAGGGTCTAAAATAGGGCGAAAAATTTTATAACTAAACATTTCAAAAAGAAACCAATTTCACATCTGTAACTCCTATCATTGCCTAAGCATCCTTAGGCCTATCTCCAAAGCTGGTGGGTTAAGAAATTTGACACATCACCACAAAAGACAAAAACAACCCAGAAAATAATCTAGGAAGTAGCGTTAACTCTTGCCATTATTGTGGACTGTTTTCAGCCGTTCTCCATTGCGGTTCGTACAGTGTGCGCACGCAACTATTCAGCTTACCAGATTCCGAGCTGCATACGTGCACATAAAGCATGTGCAATGTGGTTTTTAATTCCTGATTTATAGCATCGCTGTCCCTGTTCATCACAATCATCATGCCCGCAATGTAATCCTCTTTTGTTATTCCTCATTTATCAAGATAAATTACTGTTTCATTTTAATAAATATCAGATCTCTATAATATGGTGAATTTTTAAATCTTTAATCAGTAAAAATCTAGAATTAATTAAATGCTTCAAAGAAATGGTTGATGACTGTTATTCCCAATACAAGCACCCTGCATACCGGTACTTAAGAAGCCAGCTATGCTGACCAAGGTTATTATAAAATAGCAGGTTGTTTTGCAAACCCAAATGTAAAGCCTAACAAAATATGGACAGTTTAGGGGTATAAACCAATAGTGAGGTTACTGGTCAGTCTGAAGCAAAAAAGGGAGCTGCAGTTTTGATATCAGCAGGCAGGTTAAAGCTGGGTACCAGTCACAGCCCCTGTGTTCCAGGGGTGCAACAGACCTCCACTGGAAATCGTGCACATGTAGTCTCAAGGAGAGACAAGTTGACCGTTGAGACAAGTCGCCCATTGAGACAAATCGTCGGTTGAGCCAAGTTGTCCGCTCAGCCAAGTCATCTGTTGAGATGTGTGAAATACGTCAAATTCAAAATGTTTAGTGCTGGCTTCATACTTCATACTTGGCATTTTCATGTCGACAGTCCAAGATGAAAACCAAACTGGCATCCAGAATTGGGCAGATGTTGGGCTGGGCATTGCCAGAGAGGGAAGGATGCCGCGCCTTTGCACCATCTCTCCCTGTAAAAACTATGCCACCCAGCGCTATGTCAGAGTAGAGTTCCAACATCACGTGATGCACACAGTGCTAAACACATAGAGTGGTTTAAATCATGGAGCTGTCTATATTTTGAAAAAGCTCTATTGTTAAAATACTTGCACCCGCGCTGACCTGGCCACATATGTGACCGGCTCTAGAAAAATGGGTAATAAGTGGCCAGATTCAGGTTACCAGTTTTCAACATGGCTGAATTGAGTACATCAAAAGCTACAATTTGATGTATGAATGACCCCTGTAGTGCACTGCGTTCCGGAGATATTTAGACATTCGTATATCCACATTTTCGGATTCAATAAAAGCACTTTTTGAGAAAAAGCTCAGAAAGTGTAGCACTTGGAAACACAATGCTATGTAGGATTTCTTACTCAATGATCAATTTTTCATCTTTATTCATCAGTATCCATGTTTGTAGTCACAAATTCTGAAAATATAAATGTTATAGAAGCTAATAGAGGAAAAAACACAAAGTCACAATTGTGAAGACATTTTGCCCTCTCCAAATAGAACAGGCCATAACATATTTTGGAATTGTGCCACTTATTACCCTTTTTTGCAGAGCGGGTCACATGTTTGACATCTCACACGGTCGAAGTTGAGTTGTCTTAACGAATGTCTCAGCAAACAGTCGAGTTGTTCCACCGGTGGAGTTGTCAACGGTCGAGTTGGCCTAAGTCCAGTTAGCAAATGGTTGAGTTGTCCGGCATCCATCGTGATCATAGCCTTACCAGTTTCGGCCATTGAAACCATGTGAAGTGATACCTAGCCAGCATTATATGAGAATGGGTCCTGAAAGTAATGATGGAAAGAGTTCCATATACAGACGCCAGTAATTATACCCTAAAGTGACCCATTAGCTGTCAGGAAGCAAAAACATATCCAGAAAAGTTCAATTTCGGAGGGAAAATACGGAGTCGTTTACTTAGAAAACACTTTTTCAGGCTAGTCTCAAAGAGTCTATGCGCGGGAAGTTACGTGGCGTCCGCATATGGAACTCTTTCCATAACGATTGCCAATAACAGCCCCTTGTGCAAGTAGGTGGTCGGAGAACTTGACAAAATTTGCCTTTTCTCTGCAATGACGAGAAACTGTGCTTCCTGAAGCACCTGCAACGTCATGTATCCTCATGAATAAAATGTTCACCATTTCCACTCACAACTTGCAGAATGTAAGGACAAGTCTGCAATCGCTAGCAAGAAGGACAGGCTTCTCTACAACCTGTGCGAGACAGAACACATTCCCTCCAAATTTCTACCACAGAAAGGAAGCGGTGGACGAGGATAGTCCAAGGACAGGGTTCATTGAGTCCAAGGAAGACTTCAAGTATGTAGAGAGATTGATTCCGCCATTGGAGCCTCCAGGGCCCCCAGTCCACGAGACCTACCCCACTCCCTCTGGATGGTCACCACCCAAAGGTGATGAATGACTTGGTGTGCTGTGCCAATTATTTGAATATCGGGATGTTCAATCGAGTATCAAATATTTTGAATATTTTATTTCAAAATCATCTAATAATCAAAATAGTGTAGATGAAGGTCAGTGAAATAAACAAGGGAAAAATTCAATTATTTGTGAACAATATTGTATTCTAAAAGCACATGTCAAGGTGTTACAAGTAAACTAAGAGACCAACTCCAACGATGTTGATTTTTCTCATATTAAATCCTTTTTGGGAGAATCAAGTCTAATAAAAGTGGCACATATCAATATCTCCCTTGCAACACACGTTTTGTACCCGGTTTTGTACCCGTTTTTCCTGAGAGTCCAGTCTGCAGTTGTAAAAATAGACATGTCGTCGTGACTCATTAGCATCTAATGAATATTGATTTCTGTTATGTATTACCGTTGGAGAGGAAATACCACAGTGCGTGCGCTATATGCATCCATAGCATGCATAGCTGCGGACGACAGCACATACTTGAAGAATGCTCTCATTCTTCAGAAACTCAAAGAATTTCAATCCCGGTTCTTTCACAGAATTTCTAGTACGTCCACCGAGACGCACAATAAATCATGTAAATCATGAAGAAAGGAGCACAAACTCTCGACCGAAAAGAGATTTTGCGGCACAGTAGAACCTGCACACAGATTGATCCCTGACATGTGGTGCACACACACATACCTCCGTTCTCATTTACATGTACGTTCGTGGCGCAACCAGTCGTGCCATGGATACCAGTTTCAGTGGTTTCTCCAGTATTACATCACACAAATTTCGTTTCTCAACAGCGCCGCCAGCAGTCAGATTGTGGAAATTTTTCATAAAACTCAAAGACAACGTTCAAAAGTTTCGGCAAAATTACAAAAAAATACAGACGCAATACAAACAGGATTTGGTAATGAATATATGATTTATTAAACACTAAACGCAATAAGAGTTTATTTTCAAAATATTTAAAACAGTTGGAGTTTGTCTTTAAAGACAGCTGAGTAATTCCTAGTAATGAAACCAGTGATTCTGTGTATATTTCCTTCCAATTCTTTTCTTTTTTTCTTACATTTGTTAACAAACATTTCACTTTGGTTTCTACTTTTGTGATTGGTTCAGTTGGATGATTTTTGAGGCGATGAGACATTCATAACTTGCACCACAAATAAATGGGGAGGTTAGAAATAATCTTTAACAAATCCTCCCTAAATTCAATCTTTAGTGAAGTGGGATTGGAAAATTTTAAGATGTATTAGATGGTGGAACAGATGAGCTTTGAAGTTCTTCATGGTGAAGGTAGCAAGTTAGTTATAGAGGTTCGCGGTAGCACCATACTAGGATGTCCCCGGTTTCGGTCAGTATGCTCTGTCCGTGGTCAGAACCACACATACTCCTTAAAGAGATATCCTTGCATGGTGCTACCCCAAACTTCCACAACAGTCAGGGCCCTGACTCCAATAATTAAGCATTTTTAACTAAGTGAAGTTGGTGGCATGTGTGTGTATATGTTTTGTTTTAATAGACACCTGAAACATAGGTATGGATTATTAAAAGTACAGGTAGAGAAAGGTTTGGTCTGAGGTAATGATTCTGGCGTGACTTTCTTCATTTGAACCTGCTCAGGAACTGATCCAGGCACCCCATACTCTGTACGAAGGACACGATACCACAGCGTACCAGTCTACTTGAAACTGAAGTTTGGCGACAGCCAACAGCTGACCATCGTCAAGAATATAGAGGGCGACGTTTGGGTAGGCCTGCTGTTAGACATTCATCATACTGTTTGTCTTGTAGAGCTGTTTGCTATTCATTACAGTTACTGCGTCCTTAGAAATACACTCTAGAATTCTTTTGATTTCAAGACTTCAGGATTTGTGCAGTGTTTATCATGGAATGTGGCACCTTTGTGCAGTTGACAGTTTTACAATAGTTACATTTGCAGCACGGTTAATTTAAATTTGTCATCCAAAATGTATTACATCATCATAGCACAGTTTTTCCGATACCAGTGTGAACCCAGTCCCCAGTCTTACTAAATTTTGGAATTCGGGAGTCTTGAGGATTGCCAGTGCCATCAAATTCTCTGCAAACAGTCTGTAAAGTTTCCTTTACGACTCCTGCCAAGTGTTCGATTAGGATGGATTTAGAAAGCATTTTGTGCAGCTAAAAGTCCATAACAGTTGTCATAATAAAGTTTTTTGTGATATGAGAATGTGGCATGCGCAAGACTGGTACCAAACAACAATCTGGAAGAAGCCATTATGCATGTCATGCAGGAAACTATTCATATAAAGCTTTGTGGTCACTTTACCATTTTTCTACCTCAGTATCTAGCAATGTTCTCAGGATACAAATGCAGATGGGATTTCAAGCTACTCATGGTGACAGACAACTAAGGTGGAAAGCTTGCGGTAGCACCATGCAAGGATACAATCTCTTTTGTGAGTCTGTATGGTTCTGACTCAAGGTTCTTTTCAGAACCAACAGACTCACAAAAGAGATCGTAGCCTTGCGTGGTGCTACCGCAAGCTTTCCACCTTAGGATACAAATAGGAAAGATAAACTGTTGAAGAGATGCACTGAAGATAATATCAGGCTTTTAGCTGGAGTCGAAGAGTCAGGCAATTGTGTTTAATTGCACATATAGGATTCAGGTTTACTTCTGAATTGTGGACTGATACAGATAGGTCAGTTACAGCTGAGTTTCTCAAGTGTGCACAGGATCAGCCAGTTGCCGTTCGCTTGGCATGATGTTTGCTTCTTTTGCTTGGCAGGCTCTGGCAGAGGAGCTAAAGGTCTATCTGGAAGAATTAGCCGGCTACTCCCTCCCCATGAGGGTCCACGAGGTGGGCGGGAGGGTACACTTCAAGGGCATGTTCAAGGACGAGGTGAAGAAGTGGCTGCTGGAGAAGGGATTCTGAGAGAGGCACGCTTTGGGGAAGCTGGCCAAAGACCGAGCAAAGTCGCACCGGTTGCCGTGCCCTGATGTGACAAATGCTTGGCTTATCATCACTCTGCTCCTTGCGGCCATGTTGGTCTTGTACCCAGACTGCAAGGCACTGCCTGAGAACTGATTTCAGAACTGTATTTAACTGTACGCCCCTGTATTTCTGTGGTCTGTGCAAAAAGTGGTCGAAGCAGAGGAGGATGAAATATTGAAGGAAAGGGGGAAGTAATATTTGGTAGAGACTGCTACAAAGGGAAACGACGGCCTCAGAATCTGAAAATTTGCAGGCCAGGAATGAATGTTAAGAGAATATAGAAGCAGTTGTCCTCAAACTCAGCTTTTCCTTTTCAAGTTCCCTTTTTTTAACTGTCTTTGGCAGTCCAGGAGAACCCTTTGGATGATCCAACTTCAAATAAAGCATTGTCTTCTCATTTCATAACCAAGTAATCAGCCAAACCATTTTGCGGAATGTTCCCTTTGAAATGACTTCCATCTGTTTTTAAGACAAAAAGCATTTTTTGAATTGTCCAAAAGCATTAGGACCCGACCCATAAATTCTTTTACTATTAAAAATGTCCCTTAAAGGTTATTCCCTCAAAAATTTTCCCAGATCAGCAGAACTTTCTGTTAATAACTTCCAATGGATAAGGTTCTTGGAATATTTTTGGAGTGTGTATGATTGTTTGTTTTTTTTCACTGTTGGAAATGGAAAGTTATTCCCACTCCTGTGTTGCACCCTATGTGTCATGGGTTGTTTTATATTCACCAATTTCAGTAAACAATTCGACAGAATTTTACCAGCCGATTCCACTGTAAGTTGAGATGGATGAGAGATTCTTTTTCTGATTGATAGTGATTTTAATGAAATACATGTTTTCATGGACGAAGCTGTACGTGCAGACAAAATAATACAATGAAAAGAGGTTCTTTTGTCATGCATATTGTCATCTTTGTCCACTGTTGTTTGTTTTTGGTTCTTGTCATAATCTCTGATGTAAAAAATGACCCCTTGGACAGATCCAAGTTTTTTCAAGGGAGGGTCTAACCTGTTAGTGCTTTCCACCCTAGTCAGGAAGGTAGTGGAGAGTGTTGGAATTGGTCTGATTTTTCCACTAATCAGATTTCGAATGTGGGAAAAGCTGTATTGTTTTCAAAGTAATATTTTTCATAAATATTTATGTGTAAACCAGTGAAACACATTTTAGCCCGGTACCTATTCATATCATTAAAGACGGTTGATTTTGAGGTTGGGGAAAGGCTCACAAGGATATCTAGTTCAGGAAAGCGGCTCCACGATTCTTCGCTTCATAGCATCCTCGCTCCTTCGAATGCTGGTCAACTCGTACGCGTGCCGACTCGCAAGCGCCAACTCATACGCCGACCAACTTTTGTACACCGATAAACTCGTTGGCCAACCAACTCGTACGCCAAAACGGTACCATTAGTACGACGTGCGTGGATGTGTTTCGTGTTGTCCATGCCCTCTATGGTATGTTCGCTTTCTCTTCCAGCCTACCCAGTCCGAGAGAAAGTGATGTGTGCCATTGCGTGTATGGATGATTTTGTCGATTAAACTTGAAGTTATCTATGACAAGCCACCGTAGTGAAATAAGTGGCTCTGTCTTGTATTTACGTTTTTTAATTCATGACGTGCTGCTAATTTACATGACGCCATTTTTGAAAATGGAGTAGTTTCTTAAGTTTGTACTTCTGAAAAGTGCAGCTGTTAATGCATATGGCAATTTGGTAAAAAAAAACCACGGTTTTCAAGTCGTTTGCCCTCCCACTAACCTCATATAATAAACTAAAGTAAACTAAACTAAGAAAAATAAAATAAGTCATCCTATCTTAGATGGTGAGAAGGATTGGATCTATATCTATTGCGTCGTTAGACCACTGAATGACACATCACAACGAATTCTATTCGCAACCAAGCAAGAAATACAGAAAACAAACCCCTAACTCCTTTCGAAAGAATATTCTTTGAACTTTTATTCACTCAACCCCATTATTTGTTTATATTAAATATTCAGTTTCTATCACAACTGTCATAATGAAAGAAAACCTTGCAAATCTTCCACCCACGTCCAGAAACTGTCAATATTTAACTCTCACCAATCCTCCCTTTGCTATGCTTCTCTTGCCGAGAGTGGCATAATGTCTCAAGGGCCTACCCCTAAAATAGTCCTGTTCTTTCATAGGCACTCTTGCGAGAAAGGTTTCAAACTCCCCACCTCCACAGTGACAGATTTCACGTTTGATATGTCTGGAGGCATATCAAGATTGCGTGGACTGGAGGTCTGCCCCTATTTTAACGATAACCGAGTTAATGATCAACCAACGACTTAAAAACGACAGCCGGTCACGTTTGCGGCGCACGAGTTGGGCAACGTGCGAGTTAAGAGTTGGTTGGCGCACGAATTGATGTTCTGTTCCCGCCCCTTCGAAGAGTCTCCACTTTTCCGTCGTTTCTCCGACTTAAAACCGCGTCCTGCCCTCCACTATTGTCCACTGTACAAGAAAACAAAACCGTTTCACTAATGAGACACATTAGAAATATATGTGCCATGAGAAAAGTGTTCCAATGAAAATCTGTAACTTCGCAAATACTTCGAAATATTCTGAGAGAACATCAACCTGTGGAATTGTCTGCTTGACGCCGTGATTAGTCAGTTTCACATGATTCTTCTTTGTCTATCAAGTAAACTTTGTTATGCCAGTCTTATGACATGTACAGTAAATGTGTATTCTTATAGAGAATAATCGGCAATTTTCTTAATATTCTGATGTCCCAAGAGCGGTTTAACTGGTGTTATTTTTGAGGGTTCAACCGTGAGCATTGCACGTTTGGCTTTATACTTCCAAATCTCAAGCATTTTCACGTAAAACGCAAAGTACAGACGAGATTTTACTGCCCGGAATGTCGAGATGCAGTTTATGAGTCTTTTGGTCTGCAAGCTTTCATCGGTTTGAAGTCCCACTTGGCAGAGTATTTTCCACCGATAGAACCAGTGTCAGGAAAGCTGGCGGTGTCCCAAAACAAGCCTGAGAGAAAGCAGCGTCGAACAACCGCTTCGGACCGGTGAGCTCCGGCGCTCAACAGCGAGTTTACGTTCCAAGGGTTGATCAGTTTACAGAAACTGTAAGAGGGTCCATGGTCCGGGACCAGTGTACAGGGTCGCGTTGGCCTATTGCAGCTGCCATTTGGTGTGAAGATGTCTGTTCCTTTGCTGTATGTTGAAATGGATTGGGGCAGAGACGAATTTTTGAAGCCGACATTGTGGGTCCTACGCCAACAGTAACAGGGATTTTTATCAAAATTACCACTGATCCATTCCGGTGAAAAAAAAACAGAAAAAATGTTATAGAAAGTTACCGACCGCCGAAGGTTCTGGGAGGGGGCAATCGATACCATCAGACACCGGGGCGGGGGTATTGTTCAATGCGGAGAATTCCGCATATTTATAACCACTATGCCGACAAAATGACGGGAGGCACGCCACCCCCCTTTAGAAATAGTCACCTTAAATCTATTCCTGCCAAGCTGCTCTCTACAACACCGGACAAAGCATTCCGTGAAAAGGAAGTTTTACATAGGGCCTATAGTTTACATACAGTTAATCAGTAATTTTCGATGCATTCAAAGCCAACGTTTCTCTCACATAGCAGGCACTTTGGCCAGGGGCGTAGCGAAGGCATGTTGGGGGTGTGCCACAGTCATTCGCTGACTTGTAACTTGTTCGCCAATATCGTGCTTTGTAAAACTCACTAAGTGGAAATCCGCGTTACGCTACATTTCATGCTTCAGGAGAAGTGCCGAGACGGCCAACTTATTTCGTTTATGTACCAATTTTGGATTCATTTGCCAACTGATGCTCTAGTTGCCGACTGGAATTTCAAAAAACCTCAAAAATCCGCAAAAAGAAAAACGACGGGTGGTAGTACCGTTTGTACAATGCCGGAGCTTTGCAGTATGTATAGAAAAAGGCAACCTATCTCTCTGAAGGAACTAAGCACCCACCTGCCACCCACCCCACTGGATACGCCACTGTCCGAGTGGAATTACATTACACGGTTAAAACAGTTTTGTAGAGAGTTTGATTTTTTTCAACATAGCAAGGCCCTTTGCAAAATAAATAAATAAATGAAACACTTACAGAAAGTGTCATTAATTCATTCACACCCCCAACTACGACAAGAATAAACTATTCTAATCGAAAGAGCGTAACAAAGATGTAGAGTAGGAGCTAGCCACTGGATGGTGATTTTGAAAACAAAGTCGTCATGCTGGTAAAAGCTCGAAATGTGACCGTGAAAAGTTCAGGTTAATGCGACGAAAGTCCACACCTCTGGGAAACCATAGAGCTACAAACCCATGGTTACATTTCCTGGCGAAAAGAATTAGATCATTTTAGTAATATCTATTTTTCTGATGAACAGTAGAAGCTAAGAGGGCGTCTGACATGATTCTAGCAGATCTAGATAATCTGAGAGACAAGTGCGTGAAAAGTTGAAAGCAGCACACGAGCAGGAAACACAGCGTTTTGTTTGAGGTCACTTTTGGTTTACAACTTTAAGGGACATCAAAAATTTTATACGCATTCGGGCTTGTGATTGGCCGTGACCCAGCATACATATCTGTATACAACCTATAATTAATATTTATTGAAGTCGATTTTAAAATGCACCTTCATTTTGTTTTGCCACAAAGGCTTTGGACAAGAGTGTTTAGATAACATCCGATTGTTATGTTGACTTGTTGTCCCAAGAGGCGAGCACGGACGGATGAAATGCAAGCTTATAGATTCCAGATAAAACTGGATGAATCCGGATATTTCTAAACCCTCCATCCATCCACTCAGCGTACGGGAGAACGGCCGCTTAGCATTATTTCCTGGCAATGATCAGGTAAGGTTATCAGTGTAAATCAGGGTAGTGTCCAAATACCCACGCAGTGGTTCTGATGAAGTAAAGCCGCCAAGTATTGGGCACCAGGTTAATGTAAACACTTAGCATTTGTTGCGCTGTCCGAGGTTTATAAACGCAGACATCGTCAATTCACGCCGGCATACAGTTCCACGTCGTGCGCAGGGCAGGTCTTCTGGTAACTTCTGCACTTTGTGGTAAAGTTGACAGTTTATCACTATTTTTTGTAGCTTAATTATCATACAAACCAGCAATAGGCTTTAGTCTTAAAATCAAAATGAGTAGACAGGCTTTCTGTTTTTGATTTTTTTTTTAAACTTCCACTTTCTTATTTTGCTTATTTTATGTGGCGAGCACAAGACGTTATGGATCGTAAATTTGCTATCTGGTGAAGTTTAAACGGCAGATGCTTTTTGTTTTCGAAATATAAAGAAATTAAAGTTACTATGGAAGATTGTGCGAAATGAAATAAAATGTTACAAAGTGGCTGAAACCTTTCCAAAAATTTCATCATCGGGCAAGAATCCAAAATTCACCGGGGTTCAGAAGACCTCGAACTCAATCGACCAAATTGCGCCAGCTTTTATCATAACTTCACTGAACATTAAGAACTTGGCTCTCATAAATAGCATCCGCAGCCTAAATATCCTCGCTTTCTCTTTAAATTATGCAAACGCGTAGGCTACCGAACACATTGCAAAAGTGAATTCAGGGACTGGAATTCCACATGCTAACATAACATTTATTCAGTGCTTATTCTTACTGAAGCCCAAAGGGCTGAGCAAATAGCATTAGCCAGACAACAGGTTCGGACCGATCATTAATGCTTCGGTGTTTGTTCTCAGACTTGATTGTGCGCCTAGATCTGCCCATAAAATTCCTCCCATTTCTGCACGGCGTGGTTGAAACGGTAAGCCTCGGTAAGTTTCAGCAGAAAGCATACACGCGATGTTTGCGCAGCGTATTTACAGGGTGTCCTGTTTAATCCTTTAAAAATACAGTCGCCTACAAAATACGTTTTTCAAATGTTTGGAAAGCCTCGACTGCGGCACTAAACGTGACTTATAAAGCTTCAAGGATGTTCTTGGAGCGCGCAATGCCGCCGATGGCCACAGCGAAGTACAGGCCTACAATCGCCCAATAATGCTAGAAATCGCCTAATAACTAGCTAGAAATTGTAGACAACTTTACGGACCCCCCTTCAAAAATAATAAAGGGACAATTTTCATATAAATTCCGATTTCCCCTTCCGAACCCAAACTGGCGCATGTCAGCATATACTTGATCATTAACCCATGCGCCACTTACATGAATTTCCCTTTAATAATGATAAAAAAGAAACGGGGTAAATGCATTTACAACAAGTACGAAATAAATTTATTCATTCACAAAATTGAGTATACTTCAGTTCTGAAGGACAGTTGTGCAAAAAGCATGCATAAATGGCCTATAAGCAATCTAAGGTGCTGAATGTCCACATAGTTAAAAACCAGTTAGAAATGACCATAAAAGATACGACATTTTTCTGTCAGTACTCATGGGAAGGAAAATCGTTTATGCTGTGGTGCAAACATTGGAGAGACCGCCCACAAAAAAGTGTTACAACGGAGACCACTCGGCGAATATGATGACTCGCATGACTCAGCAATTTTGATGCTAAAATAATCCCTCTAGAGGTTTTATGATTTTTATTCATTTATTTTTTAGATAAAAACTTTTTTAAAGGAAAAGTGTGACACATTCCCAAAGCATAATCGGCCTCCAGCGAACATTAACATCTGCAAAAGACCTATTAGGCCAGTAGGGCCCTAATTCTCTCTCAAACATACATTGTAATTCTTTTCACGAGTCTGTCATTTTCTGATTCATCTCCACAGGCGGATACTTTTGCAAAGAAACGTGTTCACATCAACATGGTCGACAGCGTGTACCGAACCCGGTCGCTCGGCGTGGCCGCCCAGGGCATACCCGACCAGTATGCCGACGGCAAGGCAGCCAAAGTCTGGGAATATTACATCGGTAGCAGGACAGACAGGACGGAGAACTACAGGCACTTTCTGGTAGACCTGTTGAAATCCCAAAATTGTCACTACATCCTGGACGCCGCCTGCGGGACAGGGTAAGCTTTTCTCCATATAGGTTGTGGAAGTTTGCGCATGAGAGATGCGCTCTTGGCGTATCACTCCGCGTCCGGTGGTGGACTTGCCGTGCACAAGCAAAGTGCAGCATGGACACAGTTTTTTTTTTTTTCAAAATTAATGCCCACTCTGGTTATTTTTGATTCAGCATCGACTCTGTGATGCTCCTGGAGGAAGGGTTTCGTGTCATGAGTTGTGACGCCTCCGATAAGATGGTCCTGCACGCTTTCAGGGAGAGATGGGCCCGCCGCAAGGAAGAGTGCTTTGACCATTGGGGTAATTAGGAACGTAGAGCGTACCGTCTGCGCTAGTTATCCCCGTAGAAGTTGGTTCATCCTCCCATGCTGCAGTTGCGTTGCGAGGCTTGGTATGCTGCGTAAAATAACCCGTGACTTTCTGGAGTGAGCTGCGAAGACCCAAATAAATAGATGAGCAGCCTAGCTTGTTTTTCTTACTTTCCTGCATGCTATTTTGCTGTACTTTGAAATTCATGTCAGTCAATGAAATTGTCAGGAAAAGTCATGGTTCCAAAAAGGCTGTTTTGAGGGGCCGAGGGAGACAATAATATGCAAGTAATTTCAAAGGAATTTTAAAAAATATTTAGATTTATTTGAGACGGTATTCTTTAATATATTCTCGGTATATTGTATTCGACAGTGTGCCAAAATGATACTACACCTCAGAAAGGGAGTAGTGAAATTTGCTTTAATTACAGAAAATTTTGGACAGAAAACGTTTTTCTTTTTCCTTTTTTTTTGGGGGGAGTGGGGGAGGCCTCTAACCCCCCCCCCGACACGCCACGCCTGTTTTATGCAGAAGGGAGTAGTGGGATCTTTGCTCATGGTATGAAGGACCCCGAGTGACTCGTTCGTTGATCTTGAAAGTATTATAATGTGTTGAATCATCAGTATCACAACTTGGTGATCATTGAATGCTTCAAGATGGTAATCCATGCTCTTTTCATGTGTGGGGGCTTCAGAGGGGTCATGATAAATGTAGGACCAGCTGAGAAAAAAAAACAGTTATAGTTGGTGACTCATGAAAAGCTTTGCACCTTTAGAAAAGTTACCGTAGAACTGTGAGAAAACAATAAGTTGGCAGATTGTTGCCTGAGATCGAAAGGGTTATAGCGGGCCCATCCGACACGGCCCAGTTTTTATTCTAGGAACTAAGAATGATGTCTTAATACCCCGGGTTTTCTAGATGTGGTCCCTACAAAGATTTTCCCTGAACATTTGTCACTGGTGAGCATCATCGTGCTGAGTGGGTGAAGGAGTAGGCCCCGATGAGACAAATGGTGTTTCGTTGGAAAAACGCCATTGGGCATTTATATTCAACTACCCGGTACTCGTTTGACATTAAAACCCTGAGCTTTTCTTGTTTCCTCTTTTTCTCCACAGAAATTGAAGTTGCAAACTGGTTAACTCTCCCAGAGGACCTCCCTCAGGAGGGAGAAGGCTTCGACGCCATCATCTGCATCGGCAATTCCTTCGCTCACCTCCCGGACTTCGAGGGGACCCAGGAGAACCACCGTATGGCTCTCAAGAACTTTGCCACCTTGCTGAAACCTGGCGGAGTTCTTATCATCGACCATCGCAACTACGACACCATCATAGACACCGGCCGGGCACCGATAAAGAACATTTATTACGTGGTAAGTCTACAGCGACGTTCCTTCACGCAATCGCTGCCTTTCAGGTTTCAACTCTGCGCTGTTGAAGCTGGTACTGGTGTGAACCTGCGCGAGCAAGGATGTCCAACAGACTGGCTGCAATGGCCATTGTGTGTCCCATGTTGCTTCACCGTCGAAAATCCACACGTCATCCATCCAACAGTTGTGGCTGCAAGGAATGAATAAAGACATTAACTTTACAGTGTTGTATTAACAATTTTAATTTTACATAAGCTTCACACACGAAGACAAACAGTTCTGACATACCGTTGATTTGACAGGGTAGCTGCATTAACGACATCCAAACATCGGTGCTGTATGTCAACGGTCGGCCCTCCATGGTGACGTTAGACTACTTCATCTCCATTGACAACCAACATGACGAAGAGAACAACGAGAAGCAAGGAGTTAAAAATGAGGTTTACAAGTACGTTATCAGGTCATGTTAATTATTGTGTGGGTCCATGGAATGCTTTTGCTACAGATTCTAAATGTGCAACCTAGACCCACATGATTGATGTGACCCATTTCGATGTGGCTTGCATTATTGTCAGCTTCTGCTTTTTCCAAGGGTACATAATTTTATCGGTCTGTTCTTGTCATAACTTGATGACGCATGGGTCTTCAAGGTGCACAAGAGCTTTTAAATTAGTGGGATATCTGGAGGTCAGGCGCAGTTTTATGGGGAGCCTATAGGGGCTTCCCTCCGTCCCCCTCAAAGTTTTGTCTAGCTCCCTTCACAAAAAATACAAACATGAAAAAATGAAATAAAAGTAGAGACGTCACCTGCAAAGGGTCTTGCCTCCCCCACCGAAGAACTCCAGAACCACGCCTGTAGGTGGACGATTTCGGGAAAGAGATCAGTGTTCAAATTGAAAGCCACTCAGTACCTACCCCAGTAATGGAGAAAGGCGTGAAGTCACTGTTTATCAAAAAAATATTTTCACCAAATGAATGCAATAGCTGGCTCATTACTATACTATCGACGTCAAAGAAGCCTGATGCTAAATGCCACAAGTTGTAATTAGCAAGATCATGTTTTTTTTCTGTGCACAGGTTCCGTCTTTCTTACTATCCTCACCGCCTGAATGCATTCACTGAACTTCTCAAGGAGGCCTTTGGCGAGAACAGCAAGCACTCTGTTTACGGGGACTTCAAGCCATTCGTCGAGGGCGAAAACCCATCTTACTATATCCATGTCATCGAAAAACCCCTCAGTTAATTCCCAAAACGTGTCCGAACTCCTGTACAGTGGTAATTCCCAGAAGCTGCGCTTGGGAGTCTGTAATCAAGGTCACCACTTTTGGGGAAACATGTATGGGAGGTGTCCAAAATAACGATACAATAGGCAGCGTATTGAAAGCTGAAGTAAAAGTTATCGTGGGAATGCATATAGCTTGTATTGCATATGCCTCTTACAATGTGACGTCTTTTCATCACTGACATCCAAGTTTCTAGAATAACGAGGTTCTTTAAGTACGACAACCAGTACTGACCAGGAAGTTAAAGAGGAATATGGATGATTTTTAAGTTCGTTTTTCAAAACAAATGATAAGTTTAAAGTTTTTGCCTGTTTAAAAAAAATTAAAATTAAAAAAACGGTCAGAAAACTTTTAGGACTTTCTCAGTATATTTTCCATCAGTTATTCGCAGAACTCAGACATGCACAAAGAGCAGACGATCAGAAAGGCATAATAAAAAGGGCGTTCAGATTGCATGTGTGCGAGCACTGCCTTGGAGGGAAACGTGTACGAGTCGACTCGTTATATGACATTCTCACGGAACGAGGAGGGTCTGAACCCATGTGCAGAGAGAATTTGCTTATGCATGGAGTTTGATGTCACAACTGAAAAAAGGCATCTTTTACTCTTCGCCAGTGTGTCTTCTTTTTGCAAAATATGCACGTGTTTACTTTGACATAGGCCTATTTGCAATTTTAATATCGGCAATTTTGTAAATATTTGTAAATTCTATTCATAGGAATCAGGTATAAAGTGTACATAGAAAAATTATTCAGAAATAAAATATTAGAAGAAACTCTTATCTTGACATAAATAGTTATTCAGTAGTTTAACTGAATATGTATATTTATTGCTATGTTTGTGGTGTGCTTAAATGGATGGCAGTCTATAATTTGAAAATAATGCGCATTGTTGTCGTGCAAGCTCATGTGAATTCAATTTTATATGCTCTCTGCTAACAAGTGTGAATAAAAGTTGAGTTAAATATATCAAAAACTCCCGACAGTTTTGTGCTGCAGCACACGTTGTGTTTTTTCGATCTCTTACAAACCTTGTCCTTACCTTCCTATTATTATTCACACAACAGGAACTGGAACAGAAAGGTTTTCCCCTCACAGAATTTTAATCACCGATGACAAGTAAAATGAATGCATGGCGTGATATTTCTGGTAATCGGAAGTAGGTGTTCCATATTTCAAACGGGAAACCATTTTCAGGCGTTGAATCCGGGTCCACTTAACAGGTATTTTGCGGGAATTAAACGGGAATTATTTAAAAAACAAATCCAGGCTGTTTTCTTTTTAAAAGTGTGTAAGACGGAAAGAATTCAACATTGCCTTTTATACCAGTCTTTTCCTATTTAGCCAAGATGCCAAGTGCATAATTACAGTTTAGTTCCAAGTCACAACCTGACGTCAATTCATAGTGTACCCAAACTTATGACTGCGGAGAAGGCAAAGCATTTATGGCTGTAAGTCCGGAGAGCGCCCTCGGATGGCGATTTTTAGGAGGCTCAACTGGCAAAAATATCGCATGACCTCCTCCAGACATTCTAAACTGTTAAGAAGACAGGGAATATGACCATGCTGAATACACCCAGAAAACCAAGCAAGCCTTATAAGAGCATGATTTAAGGAAAATTAAAGAAAGTCCAAGGTTAATTATACGGGTACACCAGGGAACTTCAAACACGACCAATGGATGACTTGCATGCAGTGAACTTTAAATTTCTAAACGATATGCCTTTTATATATTTGAAGCATTTTGCTTCCTAATTTGTATTTCCATCATGGAGGGTTTTCCAGGAGAGAAAAACAGTACAAACATGCGAATTAATCCACAGGGGAACACAAACAAATTTTGAAAAAAATTCTCGTTAAAACGACGATCCTGCTTTTATTTATGCCTTCATTATGTCTTTTCATTTGAAACAGAACTTCATAGAATTGAATGGTGACCGTACACACAATCACAAGAAAAAAATCCTGCCGTGATTTCAGTGGAATTCAATTTGAGACAGCTACACACAAAGTAATGGTGTCATGATAAAAGGAATGTTTCTATTCAAGACAGTTAAGAAAATGGCTCATTTATGTTTTGTGTTCCATGCCTCTGTCTTATTTCTCTTTGGTTCAACCTGCGAATGAGCTGTTAAGTGTTACGATGCAAATAATTGCCGAAGAAGTAAAAGGAGACACGTGCATTTTTGTTTTTGTCTTTAAAAAGACCAATTCTGTTTTGTCCTTCAAGGAGAGATATTCTGAAGAGGTATTTCAAGAAACCTAAAAGTAATGATCCGTTCCATTCTTTATTCTATAACAAGGAGAATTATTTACGAGTACCGTCGAAGGAGTTACTTGTTTACTTCGTCAACATTCTCTCAGTCTTCACAGTTTGCCTCTGACTCAATTCCACCAGCGGATCAAGTCCAAGCAACAGGCAGTGGATAATCAATCCAGAGGATGCTGACTTTAATGTCCCATCTATGCAGGATGAGGATCCGCCGAGCCAGTCACCATGGATCCATCATCAACGCGGAACTAATTGGCACGGCCTGAGATTAGGCCTACTTACGAAGCAGCCACGATAATGTCAAACGGCCATAATTATGAGGAATAAATGCATCTTTCACATTTTTTCGTACTTTCACATTTGCCATACATGTTTACAAAACAATCAGGCAAGCGGGCGAAGGGGAAATAGGGGAAGTGTCGGTGCAGCAAAGTGGGGATGGGGCGAAGTGGCGGCGGGGCGATATGGAGTGAAGTGACCGTAAACCTCGGCGGACAGGGGTGGGGGCGCAACTCCACACCGTTGAGGCTGAACTGTCAAATTACACTATAGTGCCATGAAGAATATACATTTTCAACCTGTGAAGTAGATATTTTTTCAAATAAGTTCGTTTTTAACACGAGATCTAGTTTCTGCAACGTTGTTCTCTATTGTTTTAAAAGTTTTTAACTGGATACAGGCCTATTATTTAGAGTTCCTTTCACAATTATTTTTAAAGTTCCTTTTATGAGATATAATAACCAACTTGAAAATACATATCTCGGGAAACTTGAGGAAAAATACCTTACTGTTTGACGCTAGTGGGCTATCGTTCTGAAGAGTTGACATGTGCATGCTGGCCCTTTTACTGGAATGGTGAGAATAATGCCAATCAACAGAGATTCACTACATCGCTCTTTCATCGTGCATGCCCCAGCACAAAATTGATCTTCGTGAACAAAATAAAGAAGCGTCAATGAACATTGAAAAGGGTCAAAACATGTTTGCCAATGACAAACGGTTTGCCCGTATACACTATGCACAACCATCTGGGCCATGTACCGGTCGCGGTATTTGGATTGTAATGTTTAGTGTCATGTTCTACATGTGATTCTCAGACTACTTCGGCCTCTCTTGACTGGAAACCTTTGCGTTTGCTAACCTGGCCAAATCTAGACTGCAGTTGCCCGACAAAACATACTAGCTTGAGGAAAGAAATGAACAGACCGATTGCGCCCGCAAAGTCCTATGTGTAAAGTACCTATGTGTATCAAACGTCGAACGTGGCTTCCACCCATGGTAAAGCTGTCGTAACTACTGTCATTCACCCACAAAGAAATGCAAGAGTTGGTTCAGCACTCGGCCTACTGATGTGCTGAGCACTTTACTGAAAATCAGCTTTATTTTTGGTCAACAACACTGCCTTAAAACACACTTTGCTATCGGAAGAGGCCATGTCTGTTGATGTACACTCACTATAATAGGTCACGTGACTTAGCGGGCGCAATCGGTACTTTCTACCTTAGATTGACCAAAATAATGCATGATGTCAGAATACGAAACCAAATAAAGCAAATTCCAAACTTTTGGAGTAAAAAAATCTTCCTAGTCGCTATAGATCATGCTTAGATCGAGTTGAGTCATACCTTCGAGTCAAAGGTAACCGCACAGGTTATTTGAAGACTTACGTCAGATCATTTTGATGACTGTATTACTTCTAATTGTCCATCAAATAAAATGAGATGTACCGAAGAGAACAGTATCGTAACTGTACAATTTACTAGCAAGTCACCAGTCTTATTTTCACTGGACTAAAAAAGTAACACGCATTATGCACAAGTTTACTACATGTTATAATATGATTGAAAACAGAAAGCATAACATTTGTTGAAAATGAAGTGCCCGTCCAACCACCAGATAGAAAAGCTGACGGGGTTGGTCATAAATTTGCAACATGTATTGGCAAGCACATTATGTCTATGCTGACTCGGAGTTGGTACTGACGCAGAAGCGTTGAAAAAAAATTAGCCAAAAAACTGCCTACTTCAATAATATCAATACATAGAACGCCGGGGCATTGAACCTTTCTATGAAAATAAAATACAGCATCGATGTTACACTACTTTCTTCATTGAGATCACCGAATTAATATGTGAAGGCAAGGTCCTACATTAATTAGCAGTTAACAATGGCGTAAACATGAGGGGGCTGGGGGAACGTGCCCCCCCCCCACTAATTCCCGGTGCCCCCTAGGTGCCCCCCCCCACTGAGAAACAGATGAATGGATATTGGACAAGGCTAACAAAAACTTGCCCCCCAAAAAACACACCACCGTACCGAAAGCTGGTGCCCCCCATAAGACACTGGTGCCCCTTTGTGGCCCCCCCCCACTAGTAAAATCCTAGCTACGCCACTGGCACTTGATATTATAGACTAAGAGGAGGGTTGCTGAGGCAACGGGGTCAGCGTGATAACACTTTCCAAATAAACCTTTCTGATAGACACAAGTGGGCAACCAGTTCAGTGCTGAATGGTACGGAAAAAGACACACTTAGCCTAATGGATCCCTGTCTCAACATCACAGAGGTCGACAAACTATGGCCAGCTGTCCATACAAAAGCAAAATCATTAACATATTATTAAAAATAATCATGCCAGCTATCAAAACACCAATAATTTACATGTATGCTGAAATACTAACAAACATACGGCCTTTTCCAGAGGAGACAAGTGTAAATCTTGAGGCACAAAACACATCAACCACAAGTGATATTTCTGCAAACGACAGCGACATCACAAATAGTTGGCTATTATGAAAGCGGTGTGTATGTTCGCCAGGGTTAAGGTTGGGGAGAAGGCTGTCTCCGAAGCTAAGGGTTATTCTGAGTAGTATCAAGCAAATGTGTCTAATTTATGTATTTCTTTTTCATAACAAAAATTTGATATGGAAAACTGACAACACGCGAACAAAACCGAAAATCATACCCTATAAAATTCCTACTGTGGATGAAAAACTGACTTTGGAGAATAAAAATGCATAGGGGCCTCTACTTTACCCCGAATCTAGATACGAAAAATCATAATTTGAACGTATAACACTCAAGTAAAAGCAGAGACAGCTAAAACGGGGTCAGTGACGGGTTGAAATTTCCCCTTTTCACAAATGGTCCATTTGGCGCAGATATGACAATCTAAAGTGCTGCCGTGGGATGTGCGTTCCCGTTCCCACTGGAGGCTGGGAACAAAGAACATTCATGTTTAATTAATGGCACTTGACAGCAGGCAAAATACTTGTCACGCGTACAGCGCAGTCGTTCACAAAGACAATGGAGGGGGATTTTTTAAAAATAAACTGAATCACACAAAAGAAAACAACTGGAACTCCATATTTCTGGTTTCTCGAAACCGTCCTTTACTGACATATATTCAGCACTCGAGTTCTCGAGAAAAAAAATGAAGGTTTAACTAACACAAAGCAGGCCGTTTCAATATCACAAACCTTTTTGAAGAAGTAGATTGAAATATGTCATTTCAAATATATACATGTATAAATCACGGGCACTCATAATTGGTGTCATCGTCCATGTGTTACACAAAAAAAAACGTGAATCACAAGATGGCAGAGAAACTTTTCATACAGAAAAATGCACAATGACACGGATACGCACACGTATACATCATCTGGATTGTACATGTACTTCGCCAATATTCAACTGCAACGTCCACAGAACGTCATTAATCGTGTGAGTGTCACTGAATACACGTACAGTGCTTGTACATAATTATAACATGTACATGTACAAGTGTACATGCACATGTGCACAGTACATGTACATCGTACAAAGTGCACCATACAAAAGGTCAGTGCAGGCTACACATAATCTTCAATTCGTTGCATTCTGTCGATGGAATATTGGGTCATACGCAAAACCAGCTTAGCTACAAGCCACGTCTTGCCTGTACGGAAGCCTCGCGCAAAATTAAATCGTGCCGCACTGAAAAAATAAAACAGATTTCCTCTTTTTAAAACTATTACATCTGTGGAATTGACAGCACAATTATTATTGGCAAACGTAATCAAATTGCTGAACGGAGTGTACGTAGCCAATTCTACAACAAAATGTATGTACAAAAATTTTATAAATATGCCATCATTGTTTCTATATAATGCACCAATTTCAAGGTGGTTTCGGTACTGAAGACAAACACTTACAACTTGTACATGTATCACACCAATCCTGAGGGATGACACGCAACTGAGTCTATCTTTGTACTGAGAAGCGAGATACAGGCTGGTTCACATTTCGCGCGAAAAGCGAAACGCGAACTTGTGACGTCGGATCAAATATTTGCGTTGAGAATTCGTAAAAAGTTGTAAAAGACGTCAAATTCGCTTCGCTTTCGCATCATCGCATTAAGTTTGAACCGGCCATAAGGCAAAATGCAGAGTGAACACATTTTGTTGAATGATGGCCCAAACCAAATGGCATAACCTTATCTATGTATATACAGTAACCGAGTCATTATCCCTGGCAGTGGTCTGGTACTCATGTAAGTAGCATGCCGGAGAGACTAACTCACGACAGGCAACATGTTAAGAATTACGTCGGTGCAGCGATAAAAGCTCAAACACGCCTGCAATTAATTTCCTCAGTAACAAGCCACGATTAACTGTTCCTAATTAAGAATCCCAACTTGGATCGGTTCGCTGGTTCAAAGATTGTGACCACACAGAGAAACAAGCAATGCCAGTTTCAACGTGAATTTCAATTCAATGTGAATTCGCTACCAAAGGATTCCATGACACGACTTCCTCTTACTCGGAATTTCAAACCACGGAGCACAATATCTGCACGTACAAGTGAAAGCTCTCGCCATCCGTTTTCTGAAGCAGTTTTCCGACCGAAATACTCAGAACAGAATTGATCGATTTGTGCATACTCGTCCTTTGTGCACACTCTGTGGGGAAGAGCACTGGCCTGCAAGATGGCAGCCATGCAAACCCTCTATATATCCGGCACTATTCCTCTAAGCCCGCCATATTGAGGACTGTGTTCAGGACTGCAGCTGCTTTTAAATGTGGCTGGAGGGAAAGAAATACTTTCAGCGTGCAAAAAGCGTTTCCTCTAGGTGGCTGTAATTACACTGCTGGTGATGTTTTCACTCATTTTTATCATATCGGTTAATACAAAAAAATGGCAAACGGCAAGCAACCAATAAACTTCAGTGCAAATGTTATAAAAACAGTAGATGAATGCAGATCTACAAGTTTTTGTTTTATGCCCTTAATTCTCGGCAAAATCAAAATAGCGTTACTGAATCATACAAAACGTCAACAGATCCAACGTGTGGTTTATGCCTGTACTGCGAAAACGCATTCTTCCAACTCCATAACCGACCCTCCCCCTGAAATGCTGACCAACTGGATGTAACCAGTTTTCATAAGTGCCATTAAGTTATAGAAACCGGAATGCGTAGTATGCTTTTATGATTAAACTCTAACCCACGTCGTTAGACAATGAACAGCGTACGTGAGCAGAGGGACATATCATGCTGGACTTGACAAGTTCCCTTTCCATTAGTTCGGTAAACCGAATACTTTGAAACCACGACCGGTGAAGGCGTTATTCCCCTTTACCGAGAACAATGGACTGGCCAAGTTCGTTTCATAAAGGGTAATCGATTGGCCAGAAAGAAATACACTACAAAACCATACACAATTAAAGGAAAGCAGTTTCTGGTCGACAATAACTATCAGTAACTATATCAAGTAACTATAAACATTACCTAGGGAAAGTTCTTAGCTAGACAACCTGTGCTCATACCGGAGGATACACTCAATACATACGTGTACATGTAATTAACACGTTTGACGGGAATCTACTGAACATGAATGCCGAGAAGTATCATTTGACTAAAATGATTTAGTCTTTCAACTACACGTTTAAATGCATGAACAGATCCCCTTGAAATTAAATGCAAAAGTTAAAGACTAGCTGTGTAAGTACTACAGAAATGAATTCCAATTTCCAGCAAGATATTACCAGAAAATAACAACTCACCCTAAGTAATTACTATTTTTAGAAGAGAATTCTGTAAATCCAACAGCCCTACGTGTACATGTGCGTTCAGAATGTAGCATAATCGAGGTTCTTTTTATTTCTTTGTGTAAAGCAGGCCTCCAATAAGCTGGACAAAAAATATACATGTACATTCACACTTCGTGCAACGAGACCATAACACCTACCTTCCCAAATTACACGTTCAAAGGGTGTTGCCGGTCCTAATTGGTAACTACATATACACACAGAGTGAGCCAAAACAGAGCCCCGGTTTTAATTGGCAGGGGCCAAATCACTAACTGGAAAAGTGATTTCTGTATCGGAAAGTACTGACATTATACAAAGAAATGCTAATGTGTATGTGTACGGAAGGCAAGGCATACTGTATTCAAGGCACCGGACTTCTTTCTCGATAGTTTAAAATGCTGTGTCCACACAGACGATTACATGTCAATGTGTAAATATAAAATATTAATCTTGCATTGGCATTCAAAATATTGTTTCTCTCTATATCATACTGTAAATAAAATCTGTATTCAATTACTCCAAAAGATTCAAGGAGTAACGGAAAGGCTTATAGAGGAAAAAAGACAATTTTAATCGGTGGAGACATTTCAAAGCATAATGTCAAAAGGTCACTCTTTCCAAATGCCACAATCAATTCAGTTTCTCTCCAAGTATGGCACAACGTTCACAGCTGCGTCACGAATGAAGAAGCCACACAAACCCTATACTGACTGAATGCCTTTGAATTGATGGCCCTCAGAGCCCCTGAGTGATAAGGATGGCATTAAAGGCTCTCCCAAAGACGACAAAAAGTTGTGGTCCCACATGTCATAAACTCACAGTCCGTTTATTTTCACTTGAATGTATCTGTTCACCCATAGAGCAAATTGGGTGGTGTTCGCATTGTTTGTGTTGCACCCAAGTTGTGTTACAGAACAAAAACGGCGTGAACCTGCAGGCTTTTTGTTCGGTAAACCTGAGAATTCATCAATTTGGTCGGCTCCATTGATCAGTATTTGCATGACAAAATTAATAAGCCCGATAGTTTACTTCGTAATTTCCAGAATCATTGGCAAAAACAGGAATCAGTGGAAATGTACTAAACACCTAGCTTGGCAAACACCAGTGGGGAAACGACATACAAATTGAACAGTAGGACCAAGAACGTGATGTAACGATACGGCAGCTCCACAAACAACAGCTTCTTGGTGTTCTCGTTGATTTCGGTGTTGAATATGACAGCGATGGCCTGCAGGAGGACAGCCCGTGTGAACAGGTACACCACGACGGCCAACACCTGACTGAAGGCGTACTTCAGGAGCATGATGCCGGCCGCACCCCAGCCGGGCCAGGCGATGGCCCCGCCCAGCGGCTCGGCCACGTCGGGGACCATCCCCGACCGGTGGAGGAACCAGAAGCCGCACAGGATGCCGGAGACCGAGCCCAGGATGGTGATGGTGTCGGCCCGCGTGGCCGCCACCCCGTTTTGGCTAGGGTAGCAGATGCAGAGGAAGACCGCACTGGAGATGATGACCAGCGGGGCCTGGGGATGGGTCAGTATAAAGTGGTCGATAACATCCAACCAGGGCCAGATGAACAGCATGAGGATAGCAGTCAAGGTAACACCCACCACTAGGTCCTGTGACAAGTCAAACAAAAAAGAAACAAAACCTGTATCAGACCACCACATCTTTATAGTTTGCAGCATCTCAAACCAGAGGAAAACTGCTTTCAAGATGTAAAATGTCTTGACCAGAGCACACAGCAGATGTGAATAAAGAACAGGAAACTAAAATGTGACCAAAAATTAAGTTACAATTTCAAGGAATTAGGATTAACAATGGGATTTCAGAATCCAGAAACTTGGAGTAAAGGTCAAACTCTGCCCCATTCTACATTTTCAAAATATATAAAAACAAAATGTACGCATCGCCCATCACATGTACATTTCAACTTGATTTAAGATCAAGATGCATTCAAAGGCATCCTTCAACACTCCTGCATTTAAAAATGTTGGTGAAATTAGGCAGTTTGTATTTAAAGCAGCAACTAACTGGAGATGCCAACAACAGTAGCACTGCAGACAGAAATACAAATACACAGGCTAAACCAAATGTAGTCCGATTCACATTATCTGTATCTCTGATTCGCTGAATCCAAAGTTCAGACTACGCTGAGTTTCAGTTTCAACCAGGTCCACATATTTTATCTTCCTCTTGGGAAGAGGGCATAAATTTACATCATGTACCGGCTCTACAGTAAATGCCTTTATGAGCCAGGCACAGATGAGACTCCATTCAAGCCTGAATCCTAATTACATTTGTGAGATCCCTGTTATCTGAACAAGACAACTTAGTTTGCATGCCTTGGTTACTGTGGCCATTTCTTTTCAAAAATATTGTTAAAAATGTATGCCAGCCCTTCAAAACAAGAGAAAATCTGGCAAATCCCAACCATTACATATCTTACCTGTTGGTACAAGCCAAAACATCTCCTAGATGTGAGAAGCTATTATATTGATCATAATGTACAATTGTGTGCGTTCTTGTAACTGGTTTTGTATATGGTTTGTTCATCAACAATCTGCCGGTCGGTACGACCGAATGTTCGAGTATTCAATCAAACTGAAGGTCAAATATTTGAATAGTGAATTATTCGAATTGACTCAGCCCTAGTCTCAGGTTGCATTGAACAGCTTATTCAAGGGTAGTTGAGTTGCTGTAAGAGGCACTAAGAAGCACAACGTTAAACATTAATGTATACATGTAGGTCTCCGCTCAGAACTTAAGCATGACTTTGACTCTGAAACAAAAGGAACTCACTGTAACCCCCCTTGCAATGGGATTGAACCTGACACGTAAAATACGTACACAACTTACAGTAATTGGACCAGTAAGTACAAGTACTCAGACTTGTGTTTGGAAGTACATGTACATGTACTGTTACTTTTGTACCTGTATTCGGTTGGAAAAGTACTCAAACTTGAATTGTACTAGCCAATCTAAGTACTCAACAGTACTCGGTACTCAGAAGAAAGTAGTTGAGTGTAAAACTGCCATGTACTAAAGGTTTTAGCAACATTCGTACCAAATGGGAAGGAATTCTGTATTTCACTCAGTGAGGACACCCTTGCCAGAGGAGGCATATCCTGGTCAAACTACAAAGTCTTCTTAAATTTTTCTTTTCACAAGTTCATAAACTCACCAGGACAAAGTGCATTCCCTTGTACAGTCGACTGAAGCAAACAAGGAGAGTCCAACTGCAGGCCAACAATGCACCAAGGGTATGAGAGTACTACGATTTAAAACATAAGGAAAAGTCAGAAAGAGTGGATAGAAATTGGGGAAAGAGTTCAGCATACGGCCATCACTTGACACCCTGTGCACAAACCTTGTGCGCCTAGTCTGAACAATTCGATTTTCACTGCTAATTTGAACTTTTTGGGGCATGTTATCACTTACTGAGGGACTATAAACCACTGCAAGGGAAAATAAAATGATGTCTGCACATGGAACTCTTACCAAAACATGAAAGAGTAAAACCACAAACACTACTTTAATATTATATCCCTTGAATAACATAGTGCTTAGTTAGGTTCTGGGGCCAATTTCATAGAGCTGCTTAAGCACAAAATTTGCTTAAGCGGGAAAAAAATTTGCTTAATAAACAAAGATTACCAGCTTAAACTCTATCTGATAGTCATGCTTACCAAAAAACAGCTAAATACAATCCCAAAACAATATACATAACATGGAGTTTTGGCTGGTTACCTGATTTATCTAGTAAGGTTTTTTTCGCGCTTAAGCAAATTTCATGCTTAAGCAGCTCTATGAAATTGGCCCCAGCTGATTACAAAGAGTTATCATTACAGCACTGAGAGTGTTGCAGGCACATGAACATTGTATCGGGAATTATCCGGATACAGACCTTCACTTCACTTCACCTCACTTTCACTTTATTTTCCATGTGAAACATTTCGTATTAACAATACAGTTCTATAGGGGATGAAGGCCTCTAGGAAGCGCAGCTTGTCGAGTAGAAACCCCCGTTTACACACGAACATATGAAATACATGTCACAAGTAACAAAACACAATTAACGATGTAACGACAAGTGAGTAGGGTTGGAAATTTCTGGAGGGCTTAATGGTAAGATTTTACAGGAGATGGAAAGGAGATTTTATTGGAAATGAAAATAGGCTGCACTATAATATAGCATGATTAGACGCCATACCTACAGTGGCACCGCACTCATACGCACATTCCTCAGCTTGACGTTTCCGTACATTTGGCAAATCATGACACCATATTGGTTGAAGAAGAATATATTAAATACGCAGTCCACCTGTCCGTGAGACTAGACTGTGTTGTGCCACCAGAACAATGGCTTCCAATTCGGGTTGTCGAATTACACTATACTATCAATATATCCATTCAATTGGTTTTTAGATGCTCAGTACATTTGAACACATTTGCAGGTGAAGTTTGCACTCTGCTTTCCATAACTAATTGTCAAAAGCGTAATTCGCCAACCAGATTTAGTAACCACTGCATTTTATTACCACGATCACTAGCCCAATGAATTAAAGAAGAACCTGTTTCGACTCTTATCATCTCACCTCATAATGATTCCAAGTAGCTGCCAAATATGTGAAGGGCATCAAGGTACCGACCATGGCGTGTGTAGACGGCATGCCGTATTCCATGAAGTACCGCCTCTCCAAGCGCACGACTGGCGGCTCGCTCGGCCGCGGCCATTTCAGCAATTCTTTGCTGGCCTGCCCGATGTACATGCAGATCCCCCAAATGATGACCATACGGCGGGTGGCCCACCAGGACAGGTTAGCAGCCGCCATGGGGAAGATCATGAAGTAAAACACGTCATCTCCGAGCGTGGCACCCATGGAGAACAGATAAAACCACCACTTATTATGGGCAACATAGTACTTGGGTTTAACCCGGGACCCGTTCTTCAACGAGCTGCCGTGCTCGGACCCCGCCGGCCCCACGGTCCCGTTCTCCGCGGGCTTATCCTGACTCGCCGACGCGCTGGGGCCGTTGCTTGTTCCGTTGGTCAGCGAACTGCGGCCGTTCTTCGAGACAACCGGCGATGGTGCAGGATATAATCCAAAGAATCGCTGCAATCTTGCGACCGTGCACGCATCGTAAAGTGGCAACGAGTTACTCTCCGATGAAGAACCAAAGATTTTCGGCCATGTCATTTTCATGTTTGCTCTCTTTGGCGGTTTCTCCTCTACTTGGCGGTGTGTTGTATACGTACGTGTTGCTAACAGCAGGTTGTTCATGGGGCGTACCGGCCGGCCGTGCGCGTACATAGCTCCATACACGCGTTGTGTTATGGTCTATAGCCCCGCCCATTATGCAGATGCCTTTTGAAATGATATGGGGATAAAGTTCGTTTACCTTTGCCTATTGTTTGTTTTAGATGGTTTTGTGTCACGGCTTGCAGGAATTAGGTCACACATGTGGCGGGAAAGGCTTTCGGAAATGAAGAGAATTTTGGATAATGACAAAGGAATCGGGATATAGAATGGCCCGCTGCGATGGGAGACGTTATCCGCAAAACCTGGACGCTGGATATGAATATGAAAAACGCGGAACCAGAGGCAAGGGGGGGGGGTGTTTCGTTTTGAAAAACGTGACTTTCTTAACCGCAGACCATGGGGCTATTAGTACTAATTAAACACATAATCAATAGCTCCAGGGTTTGACTACATGGTCGCAAATGTGTTGGGGATAGGTTGGTTGAACTTGAAGAACTGAAATGATAGCAATCGCCCTCTGAAAATTCCCTCTTGGGATGATATATGAGCATCACTGCAACCCAGCCTCGGCGCTGACACGAGGTCAATATGGTACGATGTTTCTCTTTTTGGTACAGCAATATTTTGAAATCCGTGAATCCATGAAAAGCTGTATAATAATTTATCATGATCTTACAGGGCGTCGCGCAAGGGTGGTAAAATTTAATTAGGCAAGTCAACGGAAAAAACACCAAACTCGTCTACATGATGAACCTAGGATAATGTGCAGGGAGAAAAAAAATTACAAATCAGACAAAAGCACTAGGCTTTTTGCACACAATAAATTGGCTTACTGACAGGGCATCTAATCCGCCGTGATGTGACCGGCATTAAAACGACACGCCACACCCGGGGGGGGGGTTGAGGGACGACTAACGTCGCCGAGTGGTGGCGCTTTCCAAGAAACCGATAAATTTACCCGAGAATATTTCCGGCGCCCGGATCGACTCTCGTCAGATAATAACAAAATACTCGGGTTCAAGGAGACGCAGATGTTCTACCTCTTCAAAATTCTTTGCAGTTTGAAAAGCTACATTGAGAGCGGGGTCTATTTTTCTACTGAGAGCACTGTCAGGTGTTGCGCCGTGCTCAGCAGTTGTAAGCCATAGTTTTGCCGTGCATACAGCATCAAAATTATTGTAAACAAGAGGCCTAGCTGACTTTTATTGATTCTTTCTGTAAATTTTGAGTTAAAAGGGTGCGTGACTAGGGAATTCGAACAAGGCACGATTTTTTTTTCGAGGGGAGTGCGTCTGCCGTTACAGGAACCTCTTTGCCGCGTCATGGGCAACTTTATAACTCAGCCGTGCCGCACTGAATCTCAGACATCAGCGCTTCATCTGGAAAGTTTTTGCAAAATCAGATGAGGTGATTATGATCGCGAGTACATTTCATATTGTTAGTATAATCAGCACTGTACCCTGAACTTCTTGGGAAGAGTGGTGAACGTCAAGGACAAGGATGTCCGACTTAGGCACATACATGGGTGGAAATAGTTAAGTAATGAGAAGGAACTGCTTTACAAAAAGAATAGTTTGAAGTCAACTTCAATGATAATCCATTGTTAAATTCTTAAAGTGCTACATGGACAGAAAAATGTGACAAATGGGACCCTGAATATACAGAATGGCCCAGCTGTTTGTGGACGTAAAGTACTATCGCAAGGCCCCAATTTTCATTTATGAAGCGTTTATAGGGCGACTGCTCTGCAGTTGAATTTTCGTCTCGCTACATTGCACAATCGATATCGACAATCCAAGTGCACTGTTTGCGAGTCACAAGAGAACAGAGTTTCTAGTTTTGTACGGTCTGATGGAAACTTGATGATCAATGTACGTATTATCAGAACCCAAGTTATCGCTATTCACACACTCTTGAAACCGTTCAGTATAATTACCCACATCACAAAGGGCAAGAAACTTTAAAGTTTACTCTCAGTGCCTCCACAATCAAGATGAAAATTTCCCTATCCTCGGAAAACCAAATTCCCTTTAACCCCCACCCCGAAAACCAAATTCCCTTTAACCTCCACCCTGATTTCTTCATGTATTTTTCAAACCGCCAATAGTCTTAGGCCTAAATGTATGTACTACTTTCCTTTCTTAGAGGATAAACACTGAAAGGCCAGTACAAGGCTCAAAGTGTCCGTGTGTTTTGAAGAAAATCAAGCAATTTGCGCGTAACAGACAATCTGTGCGCATGCGCTATACACTTTTTGCTGCTCGTCTTGTTTCAAGTCGTTTCAAAGCTGCAAGATACTGGACAGAGCTTGAAAGTTTACCTCCGGTTGGAGCGCTTCCGGAACCTTAGGATAGAAAAGAAAACGTCGGAACAATAATTTTAGAATTTCAATTTTTTTTCTTTTGTTGACGTCTTAAAAATCACCTTGGTAAAAGGCCTTTACAAACTATTTGCAAGCATATCAATTTACAGAAACTGGAAAATTACCTGACCAGAAACAGAAGTATTCTGCCAAAAACTGACCTCTCACTTCTGAAAATCTAGAACACATGAAGACCAGTGCTATTAGGTGTTCCCGTACGCAGATGAGAAATTACTAAATTACATTTATGCTTGTCTTTTGGTAAATGGTAAAGTAAAACAGATCAAAATATTGTAAGAATTTTCAATTTATAAGGAAATAAACTTAAATGAATAATCAGCGTTTACATCAAATTCTAAAGTTTAATCTAACCTTGCTGACAAGAATTGCTTTAGGTCAACTCGATTGGAACTCTTCGACTCAAGGTAGGTAAATTTTTGCAGCTTTGTATGATCTCGTTTTCACGTAACAAAAAAGGAAAAATATTGCCAGAAGTGAAAGGTCGTTAACGAAATTCGTCTTTTTCTTTGTCAATCTCCGGTAGACTTATTACTCGTAGATCACGTATGCGGGGGGGGGGCTTATTGGATTGGTCTATTTCACTTTATTATAACAAATCTTTGAAAATGTTTAGAATTGGCTATTTGGGTGAGAATATTGTGCACGTGCGCATATTTTGATAATGTATTTAGAATTTTTGTATGGATTTGAGCGATTTCCTAAAATTCCGTCTATTTTTTCATTTCGTTAGTAATTTCGACAACATTAAAAATATTCCTTGAACTATGAAACTTACTTCAGAGTGGAAGACTTGGAATGCTTTGCGCTGTTCAAGGCTCAAACGTAGATTTTGAAGGCATTGTACATCTTTCCAATCCGAAATTTGCAAAGTCTACTTGGCCGTTTCCTTTCCTTCAAATTTAATCCGATCGAAAAAACTTTGCGTGTCACCTGGTTCCAAGACCCAAAGATTCCGACCAACACTTCGAACGCTCTCCAGGTCCAGTAGCCGCCACGCTCAAGTAACAAAAGTGGGAAGAATTTTCCAAACAAATCCTTGTTCATTTTCCAGTAGTGGGGAAAATATTCGCAGACAATGGGCGTGGGTGTACTGCACGGGAATGTGTGGGGAATCCAAGGATACGTCATACTCTATTTTTGTCCACAGCTACCTGTCATCCTATTTTTTTATACCGCTGGGAACCAGCTAATGGGTCCAGACCTATTTACCATTAGGTGTCGAATCGCCTCTAATTTTAGCAACAACTGGTACCCATGTCGCATACACTTATTATCATTCTCACAGCGCGCATTTGCCGTAGGTTGTCAGTCTCACGTGCCACAAACTTCCACAAGCAAAAAAGCGTTATTCCATTATCGAACGATTTATTCATGTTAATTTATGTCATACACTGTAAACCGTGGAAGTTCGAGTTGTTAATGTTTGTTAATCAACAAAACACATAGCATCTTCCATAAAGTAAACGAATTCTAGGTCAGTCTTTCTAAAACTGATTTCAGATCAATGAACAATTCGAGTATCACGAAGAGGCCTGTTAGAGCTACTTCAAATACCATAATAAAAAAACTACTTTCATATTTAAATTTTTGATGACTTCATTTTCAGGTAGACATACTATCGATTAGAATTCATACGGAATAAGTTTGATCATATACATGTATCTGTAGTCGCATCCTCCACCAAATACAATTTAAGTATCCAACCCTTTTACTTTTAACGTACTACTTATCAAATACAAACCTTATTTCTCAGCTTTTCTGTAGCTACAATACTGCTGTTAATTACAAAAAAATGTTTTACTGAAAACCATGTATTTCCCCCATCTCTACAGTGCCGGAATACAGGCCTTTATAAAAAGGCACTTGAAGATCCAGCTAATTTAACAATTCACGACTGCAACTAACCTATGCGTAGACTCTCCACAAATCAATAAAACGGTGAGATGCAAAAAAATATTAACTCTATGTTAATTAGGTTATGCATGAAAAACTACGACAAAATCGCTGAAGTGGAAAGAGTGATTCTTTACCATGATTAGCCTTACATCACACAATATTATAAAGTAGATTTCTTTTCTCTACAAAATAAAGACCAGGGAAGGCCACATGGTCACAAAGCATTTTGTAACAGCTGCATAAAAAGGTACTGGTACATGGGGAATTGACCTGCATCAAGTCAAGGCCAAACATTCGCCTGCAAAGTACGCCGAGTAAGCAGCTTTCTCATCGTCCACAGTGGCATCAAACGGTTATAGTGCTTGGAATGTGACAAAGTGCGAACCAAGCTCGACTTCAAAGAGTGTATGCTTGTTACTTGAGTTGCATTATTATAAGTCCATCTCTACACAACCGTGAGAACAGGTGCATTATTTTCAGCTCATCTCAAAGGCAATGAATCCATGAAAATACTCGACAAGGTCCGTCAAACATCCTAAACATTTGCTGCCAGGAATATGTTCTGTACTTTTATACACACTACAATATATATATATAATAACGAGACAGTTACAATTTGCACTATCACAAAGTGGATCGCAGACGACCATGTCACTGTTACAATATATTTATAACAGGGTTGTATACTTTACTAAACTTGATACACCGTATGCATACTGGAAAAGTGAATACTGTGCAGACACACCATCTGGAATTGTCATCATTCTGCGCATGTGGTGTTTTTTTTTATTCATTCGACCAACATTAATGCAAAGCCCTATCCAGTCTCAACCTATGATTCGGGTTTAGCACTTCAGGTTGACTTGTGCGTGGATCGCAGTGGCTTGGCAGAAGCTGGTGGCAAACCTTTTTTGCTGACTTGTTGTAATACCACTTAGAGCAAGATCGGCCTTGAGCTGTTTTTTAAATTGCAACAGCACCTGGACATCATGTGCTACCAACAATGCCTTGCATTTCTTTCACTGTAATGAAAGAGACTAAAAGCCCTAGGCTGGTGCCACTGAACGGAGTTCTTTTTTAAAGAGTTGTGCTCGGCTACAATTACTAGCTCAAATTATCAAAATCCTGAATAACAAATTTACTTGGTCTAAAGTAAGTTACTGCATGACAAAATGCAATCTTTCATTACGAGGGCTCCTATTAACTTGCATCACCGCACAGTATGCAGACCATTTGCTTTAAAGTCCTACATAAGGCAGGTTACATCTACATTCCAAAGGTGCCCCCTCACCAGTGCCAAGAAACCAGTTTCCCACCCCCAAGAAGAAAATGTTCACCATCATCTGTCCCTCTACAGATAGGCCCTAAAAATATCACTGCTACCATGCAAACGGAGCACCAAATTTTGGCGCACACAGTGACACCAACACCTACTAACTTCAGCGATCACTGCCCTGACCTCTTCTTTGGGAGCATTTTAACACTGGTGAACAAAAACCTACCTCATATGCAAATGTAGAATGCCCCAATTAAGACAAGAAAACACATTTTGTTCAGCCTTTAGTATACAAATATAACATGGTTTGAGGTTGGATGGTCAATGTTAGTTCTCTGAGGTATTGGGGGTTGACGAACTACTTCCCGAGGTGAAATAAACAATGTTATATTTGTTTTACTATACCCTATACATATTTTATTTAATAACCTCTGAAAATAATAACATTATCAATTTGTTTCCGTGAGCGTTTATTTTTGTTTCTAAAAATGGAAATACAAACACTTCATCTTTTACGATTTTACATTGATTCTACACACAAGAATGCATGCACACCGTTGCCAGGCTGGCGCCACCACGAGTGCACAGTACAGCCAGGTAACTGTTCCAGGATTTTTCTTTGCTACTGTGCATGCCTTTGCAACTGTTGTCCGGGTAAGCCGGGCAACAATTACAAACACGTGCGAATTTACTCCTTGCCTGAACGATCGCGTGTGCGCCTGGCCAACAGCAAAAACAGTGTTTGCTAATGAATGCACCGTGAATGCACCAATGAGAGTTTAGCGATCCGTCATGAATATGTATGAAGTGCATGTATAGTAATTCGGCATATAGCAAGTACCAGCACAATGTGCAAGTACAGCTTTGCTACAAGGCAGAACGTACTAAGCAGATGCATGTATGTATGAGTTAGGAAGAAGGATGGAGTTTGATGGAAATATTATAGTCTAAAGTTTAACCCAGTACATATTTGCTCTCGATCAGAAATTATTTTACGAGCACATGGTTCATCAATATGCAAGGTACATGTATTAAATTAGTGTGGGAACATCCCTCAGCAATTACTGTTTGCACAACTGCCAAAACAAATGCCCAGACACACCTTTCAAAACAATTCTCCACCCATCCATCCACCCACAACCTCTGAAATCTGTACCACTTAAGCTGCTTTCACCCAACTCCACTGCTTCTCAGTGCCACGTCAATTTAAATCGAGGCCAAGCCATGTACAGAGACGTGGCCCCATCGAGTACATAACAAGCATTGTGAATCCGTGCGGGACATAACCGTAGGAGAGCTGGACTCTCAGCCACCTTTTTGTTTCTCTGTTGACCTGGATGCCAAAGAACACCTGCATCATCCTCTTGATGAGAAATTTGAGTCCAAAGAATATGATGCTGGCTATGACCGTGTAGATGGCATAGCGGACCAGCATGATGCCGGCAGTGGGCAGGTCGGGCCAGTCGATGGTGCCGCCCAGGGGGGCATGGGCGTCGGGCACCAGGCCGGAGCGGTGGTTGCACCAAAAAGCACACAGGCCCCCACCCATGGTGGCCAAGATGGAGACGGTGTCATTGCGGGAGGCCCCCACCCCATCCAGGGCCGGGTAGAAGACGATGAGGAGGATGGTGACCACCACGATGATGACCGGGGCATAAGGGTGGGTCAGAAGGAAGTGGTCCAGGGAGTCCAACCAGGGCCAGATGAGGGCCATCAGAAGGGCTGTCAGTGTCACCCCCGCTATCAAATCCTATCACGGTTAAAAACAAAGAAGAAATGCCCACATTAAGCACAGCAGTTGCTTTACAGTAATCTACTGATCAATTGTCTTATAACTCTAGTGTGCACCCTCAAATTTGTTAAAGCACAACCCTTCCTTATAACACCCTTCCTTATAACGCTTGGCCTCGTGACAAAATGGATTAAAAAAGCCAAGCCCCAATCGTGTATCTCGTGTACCTCTCAATTCTTCGTTCATTTTCACTTTGTGGATGTTGTTTGCATAGTGCTTTGTTTTTATACACACTCTCTGTGCCTTGCTCCCAAGGACACTAGTACCAGCACCAGTATGTTACTTGAGAACTTTCTCCAGATCCAAGCGATACTGCTCGTCTATGTTAGATATGCTCAAAATTTGACTTTTAAAAGTGTTTGGGGACAACGCAGGCACCAAAATCAGTACTGAAATAAAATAAAATAAATTTGAGTGAAGAAAATAACACACCCACATCTACAGCCATTTTGTTTTTTAAAGCTGAACAGCATGATTTATCTAATCAAGTCGTACATGTATTGTATGTCAAGTGAGTTATGTGCGTCACCAGCAGTATTGTGACTTGAACAAACTGTACAGAAGTATGACTATCATCTATTAATATCAGGGGCAATCAATGAATCTTGACCCAGGTTTGAGGTAACTCAAATGCACCACTGATAAAAAGGTCCAAATTTCAATCAACAGGTAGTCTTTTTCAATTTAAAGGGTGTAGGTGTAGGTGATGGATTTTTCTCTGACACATTTCTTTGTGTAACCTTACACTCTTCTTCAAGGTTTGACAATTGTACCACATGCTTGGAGTTTGGGTTAAGGATACTAAAAAGTGCACTGTTTGAAACATTTGAAATTGTCCATGCTTTTTCAGATAACTCAGGGCACGATGATGTCATACAGGGAAGACACTGTTCAATACAGGTTAGAGAAATATGGAAGGGCTGCATAGCACCGTGATCAGAATATCGACGAGAATATAATGTAAAATCAGTGCTCTGGAATATGTGGTTGCTGAGCTTTCCGAAACTGAGTACCTTCTTCAGGGCAAGCAGAGTACCTTCTTCAGGGCAAGCAGAGTACCTTCTTCAGGGCAAGCAGAGTACCTTCTTCAGGGCAAGCAGATTCGGTGAATCTGCTTGCCTTGAAGAAGGTACTCAGTTACCGAAAGCTCAATAATCACATATTCCAGAGCACTGATTTTATATTATATTCTTGTCAATGTTCAATATAGGTTATTCAGTTTGTGGAGCCAATTCGTGGAGCCAACATTTGCTCAGGGAAAACATTTCTAAGAAAGGGTTTTCACCAAGAAATGACATCACAGTTTTGCTCATGAATATGCATAAATTAGCATTTTTTTCATAATGCCCCTGAAGGCACCGAAATGCCTTGTACATGTAAAGTGGCAAAACCAATATAACATTTAAACACAAGGTTAATTGAAACGTAATGATGCATTTCAAGAGTTGTAGAACAAATGCACTGCATAGAAGGGTCATGTCTCAAGGATCACATCCTATGCTTAGCAATTACATGCACTAACTGCTACAAAGTGGGACATGATGTTTTAAAGACCAACTCCAAATACGTTAACTTTTCTCATATTGAATCCATTTCAGAAGAGCCACATCTAATAAAAGTGGCACGAACATGCATCAATATTTCCCATGCAATACACGTTTTGTATTAATAAAACAGCCTTTGTACCCATTTTTCCTGCAAGTCCAGTCTGGTATTGTAAAACTGGACGTGCTGTCACGACTCATTAGGATTTAATGAATATTGATTTCTGTAATGTGTTACCATGGAGAGGAAATACCACAGTGCGTGCGCTATATGCATCCATAGCACGCGTAGCCACGAACGATAGCACAAACTTGACGAATGCTCTCATTCTTCGGAAACTCAAAGAATTTCAATCCCAGTTCTTTTGCAGAATTTCTCGTACATCCACCAATGACACACGATTTCTGCATTATTGTAAATCATGAAGAAAGAAGCACAAACGCTTGACAGAAAATAGGCAATGTGGCACAGTAGACCTGGCACACGGATCGATCCCCGGTACACATACGTGTAGCCCCATGTTCATGTACAGGTATGTTTGTAGCGGAACCAGTTGTGCCACGGATACCGACACGAATTTCAGTGTTTTTTCCAGTATTACATCATAAAAGTTTTTTTTTCTCTTAAAAATACAGATGCAATACAGACATGATTTAGAAATGACTGTATGATTTATTACACACATAATACACCAATAATTTATTTTCAAACCTTTGAAAATCACTGGAGTTGGTCTTTATCATCCTTTGGCACCCATAGTGCGGTACCTGAGGCAACGTCACTCAGGTGGTAAAACATCATGTTGCACGTCGCAGCAGTCAATAAGTGCTTTATTGTACTTCTGTCTTGAATTATTTGTAATATTCTCCTCCAACTTATTTAATCGAAATGAGTATGATATTATCAGTCTATTGCTGTAAGGACCGTTGTGCGACACGCAAATTAATTACATCACTGTATCAGAGCATGTAGCTATTACACACAAGGAGTCAGCACGTACGGAGATCAAAAGGGTCAATGACGGCTACCGTCAGCACTGCACGTGCTGCAAGGACAACACAAATTCTGTGCCACTTGCGGGCTATAAGGAATGCTCGGAGTTGCATTTGCAAAGGATTGTGGGTACCAGGCATGCGAGTCCATAACACTTCCGCATGTCCAACATGGCCGCTTTGAGATGGAAGCCACCGTCATCGGAGACCTAAATTTTGATAATTTTAGTGAGTGTTGTGATATTCCAATGGCAATGAAAGCCTGGTTACGTTTTTACATCCCCAAAACGTCTCTCTTAACAATAAACAGAATTACTACCTAATACAAATTCTCCAAAAACACGCTCAGGAAAAGTGAAAGAATGTAGCTGGTCCAGAGGAAAATTAAAAAAAACACACAAAAACATGAGAAGATTTGTCACTGTCCGCAACTGTCTCAGCGTCAAACCTCACCATGTTGTCAAATGCATCCCTGCGGCATGTTTCCACCTTCATTTAACCATAGGAACCACTAGAATTGCGACTTGTGATATAGATATTGCAGTTCATATTTTGGGTATTTCTTTCCTACAGCCAGAACCGCAAAATGTCATAACTGACTTTAAAAAGTCCCACTTTTTGCCAAATAACCACCCATGATTCATAATTTTCCAGCGCATCTGCAGGGATCCCTCGCTGACTCCTGAGGACTACAGAAGAGAACTACGCATCTTCTTTGTGCATCATTTCCATACTTCAGTATGCCGCAGCGAAACACGGGGAGTCTGTGGGTTACCAGTTACCCGGTGGTGGCGATCATTGCGTACAAAGAAAGTCTAGGGTCTTCAACACTAGGGCCGGTAACCGAGCTTTGTCTATGGAGCCAAATGGGGCAGTTAATCGGGTTACGATCGGTAGGGACTTTGTTCTAACTCCTTGTGTTGCATATGGTTGCATATATGTCTTGCTGGAAAGCCATATACTTGTATGTTAAAAAGTATTTTGGAGGTACATCTGCATGAGTTTTCAAGCTCATCAGACATTACGGTGAGGAACTCAACCATCAACAAAACTTTTAAGTGCTTTATCAGCTGATCATATCGTAATGCCAATTTACTGCTGCTATCAGAGCTTACTATCACTGTATTGTGAAAGTAGGAGAGGTACCAATGAAAAGTCTGGTTAAGGGTCCCTGCATAATGGTTCAGACTGTCAGGTGGGAACCAGTGATATCACAATGTGATGTGCCATGGTGTAGGGGTCCATGGTGTTTTGTACACCAGAGGGAGCAAATGGCACTCGAGGCAAAGCCGGGGGTGCCACTTGCCCCTGAGGGTGTACAAAACACCATGGATGCCGTCACTGCAGGCAACAATTGTTTGTTATACCATGGTCATAGATTTCACTGGAATGCTCTTGTATCTGTATTACGTGCATATTCTATTGCAAGATAAATTAAAAGACTTTGACAAATTGAAATATTTGAACAGTAAATTGGATATAAATTGAAGGAAAATTATTGATTGTGATGTCCTTTGTTGACAGATTTTTTTTGGGGGGAGGAGAAATCTAAGATTTATAAAAAACTTGTTTAACAGAGAAGCCTGTGACCCATAAAGGAATTGGGGGTTTGTCTAATGGTTGAATTTCAAGACATATTATTTACACCAAGATCCATTGAAAAAAAAATACATCTTGAAAAA